GAGAGTTCGGCATGGATGATCCCCATGGCCCAGGGAGTGGCATAGGCTATGTCAAGTTGACCTCGGAGGTCGACGGAGGCCGCCCGGGGTCACAGGGGCTTTCAAATGGTCATTTTTCAGGTCAGGGGGCGCCAGATAGAGTGTTCCCTGTATGAAGCGCAGAGTTGTTCCTCTGCCCCCGGGGGTGGGGGTGCGGATGACCTTGGGTGTGACCTCAGGTGTCGCTGGAGGTCGGAATGGTCTAGGGGACGGGTTGAGCGTTCCCTGTGATGTGATTTTTGTTGGTTTCTGTTGTGTTCCATGGATTGCTGTTGCCTGTTTTCGTCGTTTTCCAGAGTTTTCTGGAATGTTCCCCGTTTTTCCAGAGTGAGGCCAGAATTTTGCGGAGTGGTCCGGAGTTTTCCGGAATATTCCATAGTGCACAGTGTGGCTGTTCTATCACCTTCCAGAGCATTCGGGGGTTTCTGGAGTGTTCCGTGGTGCTCATTGGCTCCGTCTGGAGCCTTCCATGGGGATGTAGGTGGATCACCGGAGATCGCGCATAGCTCAGTTTTTACCGGGTTGCTGAGGTGAACACATCTTTTGCGGGGTTGCAGTTCTGGGAGTCAGTTCAGGGGGGTCTGGTTTGCTCTTTGCATGTTGCTGCGGAGGACATGGGTGGGGAAATATTGTTTTTCGGTGGTAACTAATTCATTTCTGGTTCTTTCGATTTTGTGGTGGTCAACACAAAACAAAAGGTACAGGGGCATTGTTTTTTTCAAATGAGTATTGTGTATGAATGTATACATAAGATGTGTGTACGGTGTATATAAAATGAATGGAAGAACTTTTCGTGTTGTGCACCAAGAGGCTCTGCGGCGGTTTTTTTATAGTACCCAGGATTGATAATATTTTGGTCAAGTAACTGATTTTCGGAGGGTGGGTTTTCTTTGTACACTAGCAATTTTGATTTGTTTTGCCAGTGCCCAGCGACACGGGCATCTCTGCTAGTATAATATATAATATATGTATAATATATATATATCAACCCTTGGAGTTAGGAAAATTGAGGTTGGCATTAATTTGCTGAACTCAATCTTTTAGAGGTCGGCATCAGGTCAGCAAATACAAAGGTCTTACCATAAAACATCAAAACGAGGTTGGTGGATAAAACATCAAAACAACCACAAACATGTTTAGGTTTGCAGTTAGGTCGGCATTGCCAAATGTTGACCCTAATTCCATGTGTTGATATATATATATATATATATATATATATATATATATATATATATATATATATATATATATATATATATATATATAGTATATATATATATATATATATATATATATAATATATATATATATATATATATATATATATATATATATATATATATATATATATATATATATATATATATAAGGTGTATAAAAGATATATAATAAGGTGTATAATAGGCTCAATTTTCATTATTGATTTTTATTTTATTTTATGATTACGCTCAACTTTTTTTTTATTGTGTCTATAACCCTCTCAACTCTTTAACTTCAGAATAAAAACCTTGAAGAAAAAGGTTGCTATGTGGAGAAGCAAGTTGAGCACAGTGCTACCAGGGTGTGGCAAGAGTTGAACTCTAAAATCTAAAATCTTAGATCATGAATTTTCTTTTACTAGAAGTGTTAAAAACATTAAAAAATAATTACACAATCATTTTTAAAAAAGCAGCTAAAGATGTCTGTTTTTTTAGATGTGGTAGAGTTATAAGAAAAAGTTGACCTTCCATACCAGGAGATCTTTTCTTAGAAGTTAACAAGTCATTTGTTTGTTTTTCTTATGAAGCTTTTTATAGTTTTATAGAAGAAGTTTTAAATCTTGTTGTTAAAATCATAAGGTCTTATTTAAATAAAGTTTAACAAGATATTAAAGAAAAATTTATTATTAGTTGCTTCAGAAAACACTACAAAAAATAGCAATAAACCAATCTAAATATTGTTTATGATTTTTTCTAAACTTCCGTTTTTTAATTGCAATGCTTTTATTTATTTTATTTGATTGAAACAAATCATATTTACCGAGATCAATAATACTGTAATCAGAAGCTGCTAATTACATTTATTAAAATTACATAGTAAATTTTTATAATATATAAATATATATAGGAAAAACAATTTTTATTGAAAAAAACCTCAATCCACGTAGACAAAGATGAGCTGAATTTATTATTATAAGTAAAGGTTTAACACTAATATAGGTTCAAACTTTGTTTTACCTTTCTCCTAACTTTTCAGAAAATTGCTTAGCTATTTTCTGAAAAGTTAGGAGAAAGATAAATCAAAGCTTAAAGTTAGGAGAAAGGTAAAACACAGGTTATGGCAAAAAATAAATGGCGTAAAGGTTCTGTGTTCGATGTTTATAAATCTATATTGTAATTTTTTTATTTTTGTGTTTTGTATTTTACATAGAGATTTTATTTAGAAATATTCATAGAGAATATTTATAAAAAATACTTTTTCCGAATCCTTAACAAACCAATGGAGGTGGTTTTAACTCCTAATCAATCTTTATTTTTTTCATGGAAGGTGTTTTTGTTTCTTGGCCGGACAGTATGCATTTCTCTTCTTTCATGCTTTTGCACCAGGCAGATATTCTGATCTACTTTTGGTGTTGTTTTATGGCTAGGTGGTCTCTTTTGACCAAACTCTTCTCCGGTATCAATTTTTTTTCTTATATGCATTACGGTTTGATGAGAAACCTTAATCAAGTCTTTATCATGGTTAATTAAGTTCCATTTAAACTTTTTAATAAGTAAATCATTCAGTCCTTTGTTTGGCTTTTATCAGTGTTTGAAATATATGATAGCATTGTGTATGTGATGATGTCAAGTATAGTTGAACTTTTTGAAATAATTGTTCTATGAGCATTTTAGCTATTAAGTTTTTTGCTTAGGATATATAACGACGCAATACAAGTTATATATTTCTTATTGTTAATTTTATTAATATTTTTAAAATGCTAGCTTTAAAAACCTAAACTCTTTTTTAGAAGAAGTAGAAAATTTTAAAGAAACGAAAATAAAAAAAGATAAAAATTTTTTTAATGGTTTGTTTTGTTAACACAGTTTTTAGCTAGTTACAACTAACGATTTATAAGAATATATGAGTTCATTGAGATTTTTTTTTGTTTCTGATTTTTGTATATCCTCAGTGATATTAAATCCTTTATCTACTTAAAATGAAAATAAAATTTCATTTAAAAGTATTTGTAATACATTTTAAATTTCATTTAAAAGTATAAATGTAATACTCTTGCATTTTTTTTAGGTGTTTTTACTGTATATTTGACTTTTAGGTGTTTTTACTGTGTATTTGACTGCAGGAAACAAATTAAACTCTGTTAACACTTCGATTGAGATTGCTGTTTTGTCAGAAATTAGTAGTATACAATTGTATGCTGAAAATAATCAATTGCAAAATAGCAGTTATAGCACAAGTGTGACAATATTCAATGGAACTAATGTATATTTGATACTTGATTTTGGTGATGGAACCCCTGTTTTAAGTTTAACAAATATTAATGCCACTGGTATGAATGGTTTCACCTACACTATTTCACACATGTAAGCTTTTTAATTATTTAACTTTCTAATGTCCAGGTAACCACTATAGTTAAGAAGGCTGTAATTACTTTCTCCCCTCCCCCTCTCTCTGAATTGTTATTATGCCCTTCTGTCAACCTTTTAACTTTAAAGCACGAACTTTGGTAATATTTGATTACATATATAATATTTCTAACATTTTAATAGATTTTTAATTTTTTTTTTATTTTCATGAATAAGTCATAAAAACATTTAAAATCTCTTTTAAAACTTAAGTTTTTAGTACTTTTTGTGGCCACCTTTTGTTTTTAGTGTTTTTTGTGGCTACCTTAAGCCAGTTTTAGGGTTCTAACACAACTAGGCATACAGACATTCAAACTTTGACACGAGTCTTTAATTTTTTCATTATGGAACCACACCTAAACAAAGTCTTATCTATTTTAATGGCTGAGCTAAATATATAAAAAGAATTTATGTTGTATAAATCAAATTTCAATGGTCTTTTTTAAACAGTGACATCTTTGGTGCACACAGCAAATAGGCCATTTAATTGCTATATAAAGAAACTATGATAGTTAAAGAGGTCAAAGAGTTTTAAAAAAAAAATGTATACAAGTTTAGCTATAATAGAAGAGTGTTCTGGAGAACACTTTTTAAAGACTATGATGGAAATCTATTTTGAAGCACAAACTGTAGAAGCGTTTAATTGAGAATTAAATTTAGCATTGGAAGTCATAGTGATTTGGATAACAATTGGTTAATCTGTTTAATTTTCGGGAAGAGTATGGTCGTTATATTCAAGAGTCAAATTAGAGTAAAATTTCTTTGCAAATAACTCTGCTTTATTCTGGGGAGAAGTAAAAAGATCAGACCCATGAATTAGAGATTAAATGTTAGGCTTACATTAGTTAATGACGCTCTTGAAGACTAACCAAAAGTCTCTGGAACCTAACATCTGAGATGAATTACAAGATTTAGTAAACTGAGAACAACATAGCTTAACATCAGACAGGACTTTTTTACATTAGCTTTTTACAATAATAAAAAGACATTTGTTCTTAAGAGAGATGTTCTTGTAAAAAAGATGAAAAAATTGATGAATGTTTAAAAAAGCAACAGTGAAAAATGTGGAGTAGAATGAGCCTTGACTTAAAGTTAAAACGAAGTAAAAAAAGCTTCCAAACTTTTATTTGAGAAAAAATAAAAGCTTTCAAAATGCACTTTATCCATACATATTATGGATATAAGCATATATGTTTGCTATTTGTTTAGATGCTGGCATACAATATCCTTTCAATGTTGTATAAACTTTAGTATTATTACGGATTAAGATTTACCAAAAGAGAAGGCAATCAGATGGATGTGTGGTGTGACTTTGTCAATTCGACACAGGGTAAAGTTAGACATGTATTTGATTTTTTGACGTCAGATCTCATTGGATTGTGTAATTTGTATTTTTAACGGTTTTTTAATTTTTTTATTTAAAAATATATGGCTGATGATTGCCGCCAGGCATAATATATATATATATATATATATATATATATATATATATATATATATATATATATATATATATATATATATATATATATATATATATATATATAATATATATAAAATATATATATATATATATATATATATATATATATATATATATATAAATATATATATATGTATATATATATATATATATATTCATATATATATATATATATGGGGGTATAAGCCACTGGCAGCTTATACCCCCATTTCATTTTTTAAAGTTGGCTTAAAGAATATTTAGTTATAAAACTTCTAATCGCACTAACGTCAAAAATCTTGATGTTGACAAGGTTAGTACTTTGGAACCTGGATCTTCAGACCTTCAGCATCTAGTATCCGTTCAATAATTCAATCACCCAAAATATTTAGAAAATAAAAACTAGATCATTATATGTGCAAGCTGTTGTTGTTAATCAAAATTTAGTTGCAGATAAAATAACTGAAACACCCAGACCAAGTCAAACAAAAATGGCCACGAAACATAATTTGAGAAAAACTTGAAAATCATCTAAAAAGAAAAGTAAGAATGACACAAAGATACGTTTTGTGGTGATTGCAGACTCTTATACAATTACAAAAGAAAAAAAGATGATTAGATTCAATGCGTCAGATGCAAAACTTGATTCCATGAGCACTGTGACACAGGAAGCATCATTAAAAGTGGCCTATGCACTTTGTGCAAAATAAGGTGTACATCAATTAGCGAAAGTGACTAAATGATTAGATTTGTAATAAAAGTTAAGCAAATATTTTTATAAATAATTTTATAAATAATGGTTCATTTTTCATTAGTTTCTTTAACGTAATCTGCGTTATGAATAACAAACTATAAATAAAAGTGTGGGTTAGGATATTGGTCGCATATGAGGCTTATATCGCCATTAGTACTGTTTCAAGAAAAATGATATTTCCTTGAAATTATTTTAGTTGTGAGCAATAAATCTATGATATTTCTAGAGCTAAATAATCATACCGATGGTGATGAGCACAAAAGGAATATGTCCAACATTAAACATTAGGTAAACATTAAACAAATTAGGTATTAAAGTATGTAAAAGAAATGAAAATAAAATAGTAAAAAACAAAACAGAATTAATTGAGGAATGCATTTGGTTAAAAATCATGACAATAAATATCATGAATTATTGTATGTTTTCAAACTTTCAAATTCAGATTTCTCAAAACGATGGTTAGTGGGCGTATTCCCTTAACCATCGATACTATCATAAAAAGATTTTTTCAAAAATGTAGACATTTCATAATAATAATCAACTAAATACAAAATAGTTGCATTATTAGACTACTTTAGCGTATATATATATATATATATATATATATATATATATATATATATATATATATATATATATATATATATATATATATATATATATATATATATATACACACATATATATATATATATATACACATATACATATGCATAAATATTTATTCATTTTAGGTATTCTGTGTGTGACATTTATACAATTACTGCTTATGTATCAAATGTTCTTGTTACCAGTAGTGGAGTGTTCAATGCAACAATCATTAGTTCAAAAAAAGTTGCAGTTTTTTGCATATTATCTCAGTTAAATGTTATAACAACACCGACTGTTTCTTTAAATGGGTATGTTGAGTTACCTATCACTAAAAGTTTAATGTTAAACATATTTCAAGATATTGGATCATATAGGAATTATTCAATTGATTGGGGGGATGGTACTTATTCATATAATAATCAATCAGTGTTGAATTTAAATGTTTATTTTCCTGTTATGTTTCAAGTGCAGCATATGTATGAAAAGGAAGACATGTATAATGTTTCTATAACATGTAAAAACGCCTTACAAAAACTTAATTATGTTGTTCAAGTTCAGGTAAAGAGTTGTTCTGTGCCTTATGTCAGTTTTTATTACGGAACATCTTTAAATCCAGTGAGTGTTTTTCGAAACTATGATAAAGATTTTATAGGTTTCATTGAAAAAGTTAAAGTATCTTGTCAAAGTAAAACTTCGACTTTTGAATGGAATCTTACAAGTTCGAATTTAAAGCCTATAATAAGTCGACAAAAAGGTATAGAATCTCAGCAAAAAATTATGTATACAATTGCAAAAGGTTCACTTGATGTTGGTTTTTATACATTGTCATTGCAGTATACCTATGGAGAAACTTCTACTGTTTATTCAGCATATGTTAATGTTTTATTTTCTCCATTAATAATGGATATTGAGAATGGATTTTTTAATTCTATTGCATATAAAAAGAAAAATGGAAATGAAAGTTTTTACCAAAATTTTACTATTAGTGCAGAAAATAGTAATGATCCAGATGATCCAACCGTTGGAATTAAGGGTATTACTTTTACATGGAGATGTAAAGTTGCTACAAATTTTTCTGATGCCCAAATTGTTATGGCAAATTTCACATCTTTAAATTCAACTTTTGGTGGTGATGCATGTTTTAATGAAACCTGGGTGAATATTTCTTCTACTAGTCCAAGTATTAAATTTAGTACACAGCAGTTCTTGGAAGGAATCAATTACCACTTCGAAGTCTGTGGAACAAAATACGCAGGCAAAGATATATACTCAAAGGATCAATACAAAACAAGTTGCTTCATTCAACAATTTCTAATTATTGCAGCAAGTGCTCCTACTATAACTCTAAAGTAAGTCTTTTTTTAAATTTAAAAATAAGTTGTTTAAATTTTTATTACATAATTACATTTTTTCAATAGATAAAAATAATAATAACAAAAAATCAAAATATTCGTTTAGACTGCACTGATTTTTCTGAAAGTTAAACTACATTACACATTACATTACTACAATTACATATACAGGTAGATTAAATATTGAGTACGATCATTAAGTGACACAAAATACGTAAGAGTAACAATTAAATACAGAAGATAGTTTATATTTTTTAATTACTGTTAATGTTTAAAATTAAAAAAATTAGGTTAAATATATGTGAATGTTGACAAATTATAGAAGGAGAAATAATATATGATAAAATGATAAAATCTCAAACTTATATGCTGCTTACTATTAAATTATTATAATGAATACATAATTATTCAAATCTGTTTTTAAGAGACTCTAAAATTCAACTCAATTCTATTCTATATGAGAAGCCTTACAAACTACATGATTCTATTTTACATAAGGGACTTAAAAATTTATTCAAATCTTTTCTATTAAAAGTATAATAGTTAATTTTTATTGGTATTTCAATTTTTTTTTGTTTTTGTTGCACACTTGAAAGCACCTCACTGCATTTACTATTCTTCTTTCCTTGGATATATCTAATATAAAAAGTATATATGTTTGTGTGTGAGTGTGTGTGTGTATATGTATATGTATATGTATATGTATATGTATATATATATATATATATATATATATATATATATATATATATATATATATATATATATATATATATATATAAACTATACTTTTTCTGTTTATTTTTCCAGTTTTATTTGTTAAGTGTTTTTACCTGCTAATTGCAATAAACAGAAAACAATAATTGACGTTTGCAGTTGATAAGTAAACATACAGGTACAATGAAGTATTAGTTTGTGTTTATTTTTTTTAAATCCTTAACAAAAATTCTATTTAGGTGTATATCAAACTGTGCAACCAAATTAAATTTTCAAGAGCGTGTAATATATTCATTTGTCTGTGAAGACTGTGGCTCCAGAAGGTCAATATTACTGCTTACTATTTACATAAATACAATAATAAATAAAGATAAATAATTTTAAATAACAATAATACAATTTCTACAGTTTAATATTTATTAATACCCCAGCCAGCAAGTCATATTGGGCTCCACATGGGCCCAAGTGGGCAACTTTATGGGGCCAAAATGGGTTGCCCACATCCTGCCCAAGGAAAATTGTTGCTGGGTGTGAATTAGTGCCCAAGTGGGCAGGCCATATGGGCTGCATATGTGGGACCCACATGGGTCCAACTTTTTTGTTTATTTAAATTTTTTATAATATTTTGAATAATTATTTATTTTTAAATTAGATACATATATTTTAATATGTAGTTATAAATATATGACTTGAGTCTAGCTTTAAGAAAGTAAAACAGGAAATCAAAAATAGGAAGAAAAAAATAAACAGTAATAAACATTAATAATTATACTTCAATATTTAAATAATAAAATAGTAAAAGTAAACAATACCTAAGTCAAATAAAATAAAATAGTCAAATATAAATATGTAAATTCAAACCTTAAGTTTAACTAAGACATGAGCATTAAGCAGTCCTTTTCAAGACGTCTTATTTTATTTACATTTTACATCATACAGGTTTTCATAAAGTAAGTGCGGTATTGTGATTTATATTCCTCCAACTAATTGCCTAGTAGAGTACCTCATACCATTGTGCGCACATTTAACCAGAATTCTCCTTGTATGGGTTGAGATTGTTGGGGAAAAAGAAGATATTTTAGTGAAAGGCAGATATATTAGAAAAAGAAAGATAGCATAGAAAAAGACAGATGGGTCATTTAAGAAACTCAAGAACTAGAAAACGCTAAGGCCAATTAAGGACTAATATTTTTAGTGTGATTAAGGACTAATATTTTAGTGTACACGAAAACGATAACAAAGAAGATACTAAAAGTCGTACGTATTTTTTGTCTTTTTATGTCATAAAGTACATTTGCATTTTTTAACTTGAATGAGAAACCACAGGCATATATTTTTGAAAATATTTTTGTATTTTGGGGACTTAATTAATTGTAGTTTCTAATTCTATAAAAAAGAATTCTATAAAAAACCATAATATAAAAAAATCTTGATATAGCCACTATATATATCTTTCTTCAACAAAAATTAAAACTCATGGACCAATTAAATAAACATGCGGCTGAGTTGAGTTAAGCGATAAGTTTTTTTACTGATTTTCCACGATTCATGCCTCACTATGGCGCAATCGGATGGCATTTATATTTAAAAAATAAGATTGAATTTAACGCTTTTTTAACTACATAAATGGGCGCTAAATGGGCCCCATGTGGACTAGCCCTTGAATACTAAAAATTTTGTATTCAAGAGCTAGTCCAAATGGAGCCCATTTTGGGCCTATATATAAAGCCCACATAGGGCCCACTTAGGCAAACCCATATGGGCCCCAATAGGACATGTTCGCTGGGACATAGTTAAAGAAATTTATTTTTATTGTTTTAGATTTTAACTAAAACTAACATTTTAATACTAACAAGATATTGTTTATAACTTGTATCTTAGATTAGTGGCAAAATGGATTATCACAAGTGATGCTTCTACAGAGCCACTAACAGATAATGATACAACAACTGGGTTTTCTACTCCTAGTCTTGTAATTAAAAGAGATATTTTGCTTGAAACTAAAAATTACACATTTAACTTAATAGTTGGTTATGCTGACTCTATAAGTAGAGCAAGCTTTGAGTTTACAAAGACTGTTTGTTCGAAGCCAACTGGAGGAGTTTGTTATGTAAAGTAAGTTAGTAATATATATTTATTGTATTAAAATAATTTATTATTATTTTGTTTCCTAGTCATGGTAGTAGTGTTTTGATGCTTTAATTACACAATAAATGAACGAATAAATGGCATAACTACAAGAATCTATTTGACATTTTAACTTTTTAATATTTTAATTCTCCTCTGCTAACTAAAAACCTATCCTCTGCTAACAAAATTACATTTTCATGCATGGATGGTTTACTGTATCCAGCACCTATTTTTGAAAAGCTTCTTAGGCAAAAATTTTTTTTTTAAAAAAAAACATACATTGCAAAGTTTTTAAACCCAAAACAAGATACATCACAAAGTTTTTAAAACCAAAACAAAAATATTTTGTAAAATTGTAATAAATTTTACCATAGTTACTACAATGTACATCAGGATGACAAAAAAAAAGGGTTTAAGAAAAACTTTTAGAATACTTTTAGAAAATTAAGTATATCTAGTCAAAGACCTTTTTAAAAATAATAATGCTGTGCAAGTTATAAATCATTTTATTGCAGTCAGTCAGGTCCGATTGCCCTTTTAAAAGATTAAATTTAGAAGTTTAAATTTTAGTATTATTCAAAATAAAGTTAAATCAATAATCAAAATACTCTTAAAAGTTTTGTTTGAGTTTAAACTAATTATATTCAATTAATTATGTTCAATTAATTATGTTCAATTAATTATGTTCAATTAATTATATTCAATTAATTATGTTCAATTAATTATGTTCAAGTCACAGTGCTACTGGTAATATTGAGTCCAGTACATTCTGCATTAGTTAAGAAGTTAAACTTAGGGCAATTAAAAAAACTCTAATATAAACTTAAATTCACGAAAAGTGAAAATAAGTGAAAAATTGAATTCAGGATAATCATAAGTGAAAAATTGAATTTAAGTGGAATATATAAACTACTGATGTCAGCATCAGTAGTTTATATATTTTTATTGTGATCATATCTTTCTAATGGTATGATCACAATAAAAATATCTGCATATGTTGACATGACATGATCTGTATAAAACCAGTTAACCCCTTGATACATGTTCTACCCTAAAAAACTGCTTCTTAATTGAAAAATTTAATGTCCTTTTATACTGGAGAAGCTTTAACAAAAGCAAAAAGCCTAATTATAAATTTATGTACTGGTTAGTCATTATAAGGACAAACTCCTTAATCAAAATTAGAATTCTTTAGGGATATTGCACAGTTTATGTTTCATTAATTATATAACTTTAACTTTACTATTAGTTAAAGAAGCATGTCTTTTGTTATAAGCTTTCTATTCTTATCTGACTACCAAAAGAATGTATTTGATCCTTGTTGTTGAAACTGAATAAAATTTTCAATATCAGCAGAAGAAGCTTCTACAGAAATCTCTGATAACTTGGGAATTAGAAATTTTAGGAGCTTCTCCATGATAAAAAAACTCAACTTCTGCTTTCAGATCAGGATCACCAAACAATATTTTGATAACTTTAGGAGACAAATACCATGTGTTATTCAATATTCATGCTATTTCAGTTTCATAGTAATTAGCTGCAATAAGTGCTACCGTTTAGATCATATCATTCTTTTTGGGATTCAGATAATCAACAATTGTCATAAAGAGCATTAAAAATTGTATGACCATAAACCTTTCATTGCGACAAGTACCAGACTGATTAAAGTTCTTTAATTTCTCATATTTAGGCTGTTGCTGCAATGAGATATTCCCTGATTATCTTTTTTTCCATTTATCTTTTTTTTCAGTTTTTATTCACTTCATGTTATAATAGTTTAAGGTCTAGTTTTTATTTAGTTCAATTTTTGTTTGTCGTATAAATTTTTTATCTCATCTAATTGTAATGTAATGTAATTTATAATTAATATTGGCATATATAATTAAAAAAGAAATAAGAGTTAGTGCTATAAGCAAACACAAAAATGAGAAAACCTAACCAAATTTAACATTATACACCCAGTACTGTGGATAGGGATTTAGAGCCCCTATCCTCCAAAAAAATAAAAAAACACAACAACAATCTGTATTAGGGCTCTAAAATTTTAAAATCTTTAATTATTAGGTATAACTAAAAAAAAAAGCTCTTCAAATTTGGTAACAATAAAAACTAATATACAGTTTTTGTATTGACTTAAATAATTATTTACTTTAATAATTCTTTTGCAATTAAAGAGCGTAGTGATTATATGATTATCATCTAGATTAAAGAGCGTAGTGATTATATGATTATCATCTAGATTAGATGAGAATTGAGTTTTAAGAAAACTTGCATTTCCAATGACACTGACATTCAATTTCTTTATCCATTTGTGAGCAAGCCACAAATTGAAAAAAGTCTTTGAACATATGCTTGAGTTGTAGAAGCTGCAATGAGGTGTTCAGCTATTGGTGCAATATGTGGGTAAATGACATGCCTCAGCTTCCACAAATTTAAAGCATTTTGGTATATAGAGCTGTTTCTTATTTTAATCTAATACTTGTTGAGTTTATTTTGTGCTTCATTACTAGGATATAAGATTATGTTAAATTGACAGTAAAAAAGTAGAATCTTCATTCTGAATCTAGAAGTCTTCATCTTCATACTTCATCTTCATACTTTATTTGATAACTTCATAATCTAAATAACAATATTAATGCTGTTACTGTTTAATAAATATTTATGAATGCCCACTAATATTTTAGAATTATTTTTATTTTTGAAACTTGCCTTACAGGAATAAATAACAAAGGTAGAGAAAACAAAATTTTTAAATATTCATGTTGCACTTTCAAAGTACTTAAGAATTTGAATTTTTTTGTTTGTTGAATTTGTAAGTTTCTTTTTTTTTTTTTAATTTTTTTGTTAATTTTCTTGCTTTTTTTCACTATGTTTCTTTATTATAGCCCAGCCTCCGGTTATGCCCTGGATACAAAGTTTTCAATTGTTTGTTATGGTTGGAGAGATGCTGATGGATTGCTGTTTTATCGTTTTTATTATGACAATGGTCAGATTGAGCGGATGAATCTCAGTAGTACAAACTCTGTGGATTATCCATTATTAAATGCAGCAACTATAGATCAACCTAGTTTAGTTAACTTTGTGATGGGGCCTGGTGACCAAAAGAATGATTACAAGATCATAATTTTTTTAAGAGTTAGCAATAAGTACAATGCTTACACAGAACAGAATTTTACTATAATGGTACTTTATATATGTATACTTTTTATACTTTATACTGTATATATATATATATATATATATATATATGTATATATATATATATATATATATATATATATATATTTTATATATATATATATATATATATATATATATATATATATATATATATATATATATATATATATATATATATATATATATATATATATATAAAAGTAGGTTATATAAAATATATATATTTTTTATACCCTACATATATATATATATATATACATATATATATATATATATATATATATATATATATATATATATATATATATATATATATATATATATATATATATATATATAATATATATATATATATATATATATATATATATATATATATATATATATATATATATATATATATATATATATATATATATATATATATATATATATATATATATATATATATATATATATATATATATATATACATACATATATGTATATATCTGTTCATATATACTGCTCTCCTTTAATGTATATGTATATATATATATATATATATATATATATATATATATATATATATATATATATATATATATATATATATATATTAGGACCCTGCGAATTGTCAGTTTTTGTTTCAAATTGAATCTCGAATCAAAGCAGGTCTTGATTCAATTTGCGATTTGAATCACGTTTCGAATCAACATTTTGAAGTCAGTGCTTTGTTGCTATCAAAATAACATTATTTATCTCTAAATACCTTTTTAATCAGTCATTAAAGAGGTTAACCAGGGCAAAAAGCATCAATAAAGAGATTATAAAATTACTCTATTTTATTTTATTTTGAAATATATATTATTAAATAAAAAATGGTTAAATTTAGACTTCAAAATGTTGATTCGAAACGTGATTCGAATCGCGAATTGAATCAAGACCTGCTTTGATTTGAGATTCAATTTGAAACAAAAACTGACAATTCGCAAGGTCCTAATATATATATATTTATATATATATATATATATATATATATATATATATATATATATATATATATATATATATATATATATATATATATATATATATATATATATATATATATATATATATATATATATATATATATATATATATATATATATATATATATATATATATATATATATATATATATATATATATGGGCATTTCCATTTCTGTGCGTGATTTTTTCTTTTTCTTTGTTTTAGCAATTAAAAGCTGGGACTTTATGCAATATGCATACTATTTTGATTTTCTTAAAGAACAATTATAACTAAAGTATTTTTATCATATTTTAGGCTATCTGAATAAATTAAATAGACACATTTTTACAATTTTATTTTTTTGAGTAAAAATGTTGCTACATTTTGAAAAATATACAAAAATTTTCAAAACGCCATACTCTAGCTAGAAATAATTGATGACTGCCGTTTCTCATCAAAATTATATTAAATATGAGTCGCAGAAGTATAATATTTCACTTGAAATACTCACTAGCAATTTATTTTCATAAAAATAACTACATGAAATTGACAAATTTGCAACATCCGTGCGTGACTTCCATGCGTGAACATTCATAAACTGTATTTAAATGATTGCAGTGACTCTTTGATTCATAGTGCAATCCTGTAACTTTCTGGAAATCTTTACTAATGTTTAAAATATTATTTAAAAAAAAAGTATACCGGTGAAACTTATATTGTCCGAGGAATTAAAGTTTATTTATCTAGTAACTAAAATAGAAGTTTTTCTGTTCCGTGCGTGATTCCATTTCAAACTTTATTTATTCTTTGTTAACATTACTAATCCTTACTCTTTTTTGTTTACAAAATATTTATATTGATTAGAATTAAGTGAGATCGCTAGTTTTATTTTTATGAAAATAAAAGTAAAAACATATACCAGTTTCCGTGCTTGATTTTTTGGAAATGCCCATATATATATATATATATATATATATATATATATATATATATATATATATATATATATATATATATATATATATATATATATATATATATACATATATATATATATATATATATATATATATATATATATATATATATATATATATATATATATATATATATATATATATATATATATATATATATATATATATATATATATATATATATATATATATATAGCCCGCGATAATGTTAGCCAAAAGCACATATTAAAAACAATTAGCACCAAGACAACAATCAAATACAAAAAGAAGAAAAAATTTGCGGATCGAACTTTGCAACAGAAGTCAGCTGTTCATCCGAAGTGTGCCACCTGGCCAGAGTTTTCTGCAAAAAAGGTGGTGATCATTAACGAAAGGTGGTGATCATTGATTGAAAAAGAAGATGATCATCGACGACGAGTCCTATTTTTTGTTGAACAATAGCGAGTTATCTGGAAATGCTGGTTTTTACGCGTCTGACATCGAATTGACTCCAGAAGCTGTTAAACTCAAGCGCAAGTCCAAGTTCGAGCTAAAGGTACTTGTTTGGGTTGCTATGTCCGAAGACGGCCTGTCGAAGCACCTGGTGACACCTTTAGGCCAAGCGATCAATCAAGGTGTCTACATCCAGAAGTGCTTGATTCCGTTCATCAAAACAGTTTATAAGAACAACAAGATCGTTTTCTGGCCTGACCTCGCTATGTCTCATTACGCAAAGAAGACACAGGCATTCCTCCAAGCGAATAACATCAAATTTGTGTTTAAGGAGCGCAGCCCTGCCAATGTGCCAGAACTCTGACCAATTGAAGACTTTTGGTCAGAACTCAAATGAAGAATATATGATCGTGGCTGGAGAGCAAAAACCATGGACCAGCTCACTGACAGGATCAACTACTGCATAAAATGGATCAGTCAAGATTGTGTACATTGACTTGGCAAGGCTTCTTTCAGCCTTGTGGACAAAGTTCGCAGACATGGGATGATAAACTTATAACTTTTTTAAATCTGAAGCTTTATATGCCTAACTTTAATTACCTTTTTACAGAAATAAAATTGGACGTTTAATCTCAAAGTTATAAGTTTTTTAGTTTTGTTCGGATTTCTAGGTATCACATGTTATACCAATTAAAAAGTTTTCAGTTTAACAATTATGTTTATAGCAAATAATGATTATTTAAATAAATAGTGAAAATTAGTTTACAAAATAACAATTTTGCGACAAACTAAAACTTTTAACATTTTCCTCACAAAATTGCTAATTTGTTGATTTTATAAACAAATACATGGTGGAAATAATTTACAAACTCTATTTATAAGTGATTGAGATCATGGGATCTGAGAAATTCATCTCATTTCCAGTGAAAAATTTAATTTTGAGATCAGTTCGAAATGGAATTTCTTTTCGTAAAACAGCACAGCTTTATGGAGTTGGTAAGACTGTCTTTGTTAGACAAACTATGAAGAAATATAAGCTTACTAGATCTACAAAGAATAAAAATCAATCAGGAAAGCCACACAAAACAACGCATTATCAGGATAAAAAGCCTGTGATACTAAGCAAAGAAAATTGACATTTGACTGCTGTCAATATTAAAATACAAATGAGACATTTCTATAAAATAAATTGTATTATTTCTTCTATAAATGTCATTTACGTTGTTTACTAATTTATTTGAAACACACCCAGCTAAAAAGCCATTAGTTTCCTTGAAAAATCGTAATGCTCGGAAAGAATTTCTATCAGTATCTAATGTAGAGTAGTCAGCAATGGTCAAAAATACTTTTTAATGATGAAAACAAGTTTATACTGTTTGGGTCATATGCAATCTGGTATGCTGGACATTTGGTAGGTACAAGATGTCCAGTAGGTACAAGATACAATCCAGTAGGTATTCTAATGATTTGGGGATGTTTTAGCCAAGATAGAGTTGGTCGGCTCCATAGAACTACTGAGGCTGTAAATCAAGAAAAGTAAAAAGATATATGAAAGACTATTGCCTCATGTAAATGATAAAATGCCTTGAGAATGGATATACGAACAAGATAACGATCCCAAACATGCAACCAAACTGGTTTTAGAGTTTTTTAAAAAGAATAAAATTAATGTTTTAGAGTAGCCATCCCAATCACGTGTCTTAAATCCAATTGAACATCTATGGGAACATGTTGACCGTCAAAAAAAAGGAATCAAGTTTACAAATCATGTTGATTAATTTAATAAAATCAAAGAAATATGGAACTCAATTCCCATTGATACTTGCATTCATTTAGTTGACTCTATGCCTCATAGATGCCAAGCAATTGTTGATTACAAAGGATATCCTACAAAATACTTATGCGATTTTGCGTTTATATAAATTTTTGATCAAGTATTGTTGAAAATTTGTATTATTTAAAAAAAAAAAAACTTTTAAATTTATCAAAAATCGTTCATTTATATACCAATTTTAAAATGTTAATTGGATAATCATTATTTGTTTAAAATATAATTGTAAACATGAAAACCTTTTAATCGGTATATAATATGTTGGCTTTAGTGAAGTATGTACTGATATATAAATAAAATTATATATATATATATATATATATATATATATATATATATATATATATATATATATATATATATATATATATATATATATATGATATATATATATATATATATATATATATATATATATATATATATATATATATATATATATATATATTGTATATTTTGTATGTTTTTTTAATTATGTATAAAAAAACTGTATATATATGTATATATATATATATATATATATATATATATATATATATATATGTATATATATATATATATATATATATATATATATATATATATATATATATATATATATATATATATATATATATATATATATATATATATATATATATATATATATATTGTATATTTTGTATAATGTTTTTTTAATTATGTATAAAAAAACTCTTTGTTTAAAAGTGATCAATATTATAAAAACAAAGATTTTTATAATAGATCTAATATAATTATTTAGTATTAAAATGAAAAAAATACAACTTTTTGTTGGTACTCAGAGTTTCATGCCTGGCGGCAATCATCAGCCATATATATTTTTTTAAATCAAGAAATTAAAAAACCGTTTAAAATACAAATTAAGCAATGCAATGGGATCTGACGTCAAAACATCAACTACACGAAGGTTACCTTTAGCCTGTGTCGAATTGACAAAGAAGGAATTTATTTCTATGCCGACATTTTAATATAATTTCAGTCTTTATTTAATAAACTATTGTCATTATTTGAAATAATTTCATATTTTTCATTAAGGCATAATTTGCATGATTTTGTTGTCAGGTTATATGCTTCACATCTTCTAATTATTTTCCAATTGATCACAACATTTTTATCATTATCTTTTAAGTTCTAAACCTCCTTTGACAGCTCTGTATCGTTTCTATACTTGGGGATGTTAAACGATTTCAAATGGTTAGCATATCTCAGTTTGAAAGATGTTTCACAAATACCAATGTATGATTTTTTTATTGAAGGGTTATCCGAAGTGATGGTTGCTTGGTATACAATGTTGTTGGTCAAGCAGTTATTGTGTAAAGGACAATTGTTCCGACAACAGTTCCGCAGAATAACCAACAGTTTTCAAAGTAGATTATAAAGTGATATTTCAAACATCCGCAAAGCTAAATTAACTAGCTAACTTAAAAACAAAAGATAAAATAAACAAAGAAGGTAAAAATTTTTTAAAGAATCATGCTATTTTTAACAAAATTGACATTAATGCATCTTCTAACTGCTTCATAACGTTAAAAGACCATAAAACTAATTTTACAAACAATCCAACAGATTAATAAATCCGGCAAAAAATGAAATTGGTAGAATTAGTAAAGACATTCTCTCAAAATTAAACTCTGAATTAAAAAATACTTTACATCTTAATTAGTGGAGCAGCACTCAAGATGTTATCAATTGGTTTAAAAATATAAAAGACAAACACCTTTATAAATTCCTCATTTTTGATATCAACGATTTCTACCCTTCAATAAGTGAAAAACTCTTTAACAATTCTATCAGTTTTGTGGAAAAACATGTCACTATAAGCATAGAACAAAAGTCAATTATTATTCATGCAAGGAAATCTTTACTGTTTAATAATAGCCAGGTTTGGATGAAAAAGTCAGGCGGTTTGTTTGACGTTACAATGGGTGCGTTTGATAGTGCGGAGATATGTGAGTTTGTTGGGATATTCATTCTTTTTCAAATTTCACATTTTTATAGTAAATATGACTTTGGCTTATACCGCGATGACAGATTAGCAGTTTTTAAAAATGCTACTGGTCAGCAAATGGAGAAAATTAAAAAGCATATCACTCACTTATTCAAATGCAACAATCTTAAAATATCTATACAGTGCAACCTCAAAATTGTGAACTATCTCGACGTAACTCTTAACCTCTGCGACCAGTCATACCAACCATACTGCAAACCTGATAATACTTTAAACTACATACATGCTCAATCTAACCACCCTCTTAATATACTAAAACAACTACCGCAAAATCTTGAACTCAGATTGTTTGGAAATTCTAGCAGCGAAGAGGTGTTTAAAAAATCTGTACCTATTTATAATGAAGCACTACGAAACTCTTGTTATAAACATAATTTATCTTACTGACCTAACTTGAAACAACAACAAAAGAAAAACCATACGCATAAAATAATCTGGTACAACCCACCCTATAGCATAAAATGTCACCACAAATATAGGAAAAAGCCTTTTAAACTCGATTGTCAAACATTTTCCAATTAACAACAAGCTACACAAAATTTTCAACAAAAACACAGTAAAAATCAGCTACAGTTGCATGCCAAACAACTGCAACTGCCTTAATAAAAACAATTGTCCTTTACACAATAACTGCTTGACCAACAACATTGTATACCAAGCAACCATCTCTTCAGATAACCCTTCAATAAAAAAATCATACATTGGTATTTGTGAAACATCTTTCAAACTGAGATATGCTAACCATTTGAAATCGTTTAACATCCCCAAGTATAGAAATGATACAGAGCTGTCAAAGGAGGTTTGGAACTTAAAAGATAATGATAAAAATGTTGTGATCAATTTGAAAATAATCAGAAAATGTGAAGCATATAACCTGACAACATAATCGTGCAAATTATGCCTTAATGAAAAATATGAAATTATTTCAAATAATGACAATAGTTTATTAAATAAAGACTGAAATTATATCAAAATGTCGGCATAGAAACAAATTCCTTCTTTGTCAGTTCGACACAGGCTAAAGGTAACCTTTGTGTAGTTGTTGTTTTGACGTCAGATCCCATTGCATTGCTTTTAATTTTTTTCTGGACGCCTGTTGATTCATATTTTTATCTCACTCTGTTAACCTTTTTTTAATTTATTATGCTTTGTTAAGCCATCTACTGTTTGGTACAGCTTTGCAAAAAGGTGTTTACAAAAAGGAATTTTGATATGGTTTTTAAATTTATCAATTTGTTTTCTACAATTTGAATATCACAGCTACTCTTCTGTTAAAGTTAAGCAAAAATCCATTTTCTAGAATCAATTCAGTCACTGATTATCACATTAAGTGATATTGTTGCTGTAGTCTTTACCACTTTAGGTTCTTTTAAGCTGTTGGCTGCATTTTGAATATCCTTTAATGTCTCTACATTATTTATTACATTACCTATTTGTTAAAGTTTCATATCTTTTTTTCCAACTCGTATTTATTAAATTCTTCTTTTGCTTCGGTTTTTCTGGAACAGAACAACAAACTTCTTTTCTAGATAATTCTGGTAATTTTAAACATTTTAAAGACATAATAACTTTATTTGACTTAACACCATAACTTGACTTTCCATCACTTGAATTTTTAATTTAAAAAAAGACCAAATACCAATTTTTATTATTTGGTAAACTTTCTAATTAAAATATGAATTATTTAAATCTTTTTAAAAACTATAAAAATGAATAAATTGTGAATAAAATAAATCTATAATAATCAAAAGCCTACAAAATATTTTTTGTTTTAATTTACTTGTTTGACTTACCAGCATTGTCAGTCCATAGGACTATAATAATGTTAAGTTAAAAGCCGGTACAAAATAAAAGCATATAAAAAATTGCAAAGCAGACAATTGAGATGATATTGAAACAACGAAATAAGTCAAATTTCACTGAAAATGTAAAAATAAATCAAATGTTTGTATTGAATTTGAACAGTTTTTTTTTGCAACTTAAACTAAAAAACATCACAGGAATCATTAACCAATCAGTGTTGAGTATCTAACAGGAATTCAGTCATTAACCAATCAGTGTTGAGCTGCTAACGTAGTTAATTTATTTAAATATTTTTATTTAGACTTGGTTATTTGGATAAAAAGTTGATGATTTTATAATATGCTTTTTATCTTATATTTAGGTAAAACCAAATAAAAAACTTTTAAATATAACTGACTTGCTAATTGATGTTAATTTGAATGATACACAAAGTGTTTCTAACCTTGTTCAGGCCATAAGTTCCACTTCAAACAAAAATTCTTCAAGCTTAAATAAGGTTTCATCAACATCTAATAATGAGGTATGATTTTATTTATAAAAATAAAAACCAAGTTTTTAACATATTTAAGCTAGTAGTAAGTTTAAGTTAGTACCCTTATAGTGAGTAAACATCGATTCATTGTATTCCTCTAAAATATTTAACAATTTCTAATCTAAATCTAGTAAATATTTTAAAAGATTAAAGAGCCTCGGTGGTGATACCCAAATATTAAAAGTTCCTGGATGGAGATCCCCAAAAACTAAATATTAGGCATATTTATAATTTAATAATTTGGTTCAAGAACTATAAAACTTAAAACCAATAAAAAAAGTGTTTTTTCTTTTTGATTTGTTTTTAATATTTATTTATCAGAATTTAACATTTATTTTTCAGAACTAACATTAATTTATCAGAACAAATAAAAACTTACATAGAAAGCTCAAAATCATTACAAAATATTATATAATTTGTTATAGTTGCTTCTAAAACCAAAACATGCTAAAACTAAGTAAATAATTTTTCTTATAACTAGTTAGGTTATTTATTTTATATGATTGTTATAATTCCATTTTATCCCATATTTCCATTATTTGATATCCTGTGCTTCCTGAATTTTATATCCATATTTGGATTCATTCATAATTTTGCAAGTTTTATTTACATGTATACACTTTATAGGTGCGCACACAAGTTATCAGTTTAATTAACAACTTGCCCATTATTGATTTAAATTCTTTTAAATCTGTAAGTGATGGTTTGGTTTTATCAATAAAATATCCATCAGAAATTACTTCACAGGCTCAGGTAATATTTGATTGAAAAATAAAATTTCATTGAGTAATAGTTATCTACTAATGTTTTTTAAATAGATTTTTAAAATTGCAAATATTGTTAATATGCTTTTTAGAATCAGGCAGCAAATATTGTGGAACGGTTGTCTGGATATCTCACCAAACAAAATTTGAAAGGTTTTGGAGCAGATAGTTTTGATACACTGACTCAATCACTTCTAAATTCTATTTCGAGTTTGTTTCTGACTGATTTTAATTCAACTGATCCAGGTACTTTTTTAATAATAAAGTTTAATCAAAAAGTTATGAGAGTTAAATTAGAGATTTTCAAACTATTTTATAATTATATAAGTTTTAATTTAATTGATATATGATATATATCTATGATTTATATCATATATACATCTATATATATATATAGGATTTATATGATACATATTTGTATCTATATAAATACATTTATACAGTCATGGCCATAAATATGAGAATGATGATAAATTTTCTATTTTTTCATGATTCTTCATCATGTAAAGACAATTAGATAATAATTACAGTTGTTAGATAATAATTGTTAGATAATAGTTGTTAGATAATAGTTGTTTGATAATAGTTGTTAAATAATAATTACAGTTATACACCTTATAACGTACTTTCAAACCTTATAACGCAGGGTCATGTTTTCTGATGAATCCACATTTTCTTAATTTGCCTCTTACACTAGGCATGTTAGAAGATCAGTCAATCAGCGCTACAATATCAGATATGTAGTTATATATGCAGGACAGGGCGGTATCTGGTTTATGCCAAAGTACACCACCATTAATGGAGCAGTGTATCTCAATATCCTTAAAGAAAAGCTACCTCAGTATATGGCTAGTAGCAACTGCACCACTTTCCAGCATGATGGAGCTCCTTGCCACCGCACTGGAGCAGTTAGTCAGTGGCTAATAGGTCAACACATCGATGTTTTAGGACCTTGGCCTGGCTCAAGCCCGAATCTTAATCCAATAGAAAATTTATGGATGATGATGAAGCGGAAAGTTGCTATGAAAAATCCTAGTTCCAAAAACACCCTTAAGAAAGCAATCATAACTGCTTAGACTCCAGAAATAACGCTGAAATATTACCAAAAAATTAGTTGATTCAATGCCTGAGAGGATAAGGGCTGTGATATTGACTTTTGAGACAATCACGCCTTTAAGATGCTTTTTTACTAATAATTTAATCATATTTTATAATTAAAGCACAAACTAATTGTTATTGGTGTTAACTGCTTGTTATACTCAGGTTCTAAAAGCCGTACTATAAAAAAATACAGCGTTCTTATATTTATGACCATGATTATATATATATATATATATATATATATATATATATATATATATATATATATATATATATATATATATATATATATATATATATATATATATATATATATATATATATATATATATATATATATATATATATTTATATATATATATTGGTGTGAATACAAGTATTTATAAATTACAGGATCTCCCTTTATTCCTGATAATAAAACAGCATCATCTGGCACTGAAACAACTGCAACAACAACAACTTCAGCAGCATTCTCAAATCTTACTGTAAGTTTTTTTTTTTGAGTTTGATTTACTTCCAACAAGACTGCAAGCAACCACTGTTAAGTTTGGAGTTACTAGAAAAAAAAGAATAGAGTTATAGAACAAGAAAACGTTGCAAAATTATATAAACTTATATTTTATTTTTTATATCAACAAGTTCTTTTGAAAAAAAGAATTTGTATAGACATACACACAGACATACATACATGTATACATACATGCATGCATGTATGTATCTACGTATGTATGTATGTATGTATGTATGTATGTATGTATGTATGTATGTATGTATGTATGTATGTATGTATGTATGTATGTATGTATGTATGTATGTATGTATGTATGTATGTATGTATGTGTGTATGTAAGCATGTAGACTTTCTTTATAACTTTTATCATTTATCTTATGAGTTGGTTTTTAAATAATGTGAGTAATATAAGAAGTACAATAAAAGTGGTTTTAAAAAAGTGGTCTTAAAAAAGTAGTTTTAAAAAGGTAGTTTTAAACAACTTTTAAAAGTAGTTTTAAACAACTTTTGCTTTACAGCTTGGTCAAACTAGATCAACTGGGGCTAAAAGGGTCTAATTTAAAAGGGTAAAAAAAAGTCTTGTTAAAAAATGTCAATATCTTATCTAATAAAATTTTTTTCATTTTTTCTTAGCTTTTTTCTTTTTTTTTTTATAGATTCTAAGCTAATTAACCTTTATGCATTATATTTTTAGATACTTATATAGATTATATAGATAGACTCAAAAAACCTTGTGTGCTGCAGTATGTATGCATAAAACAACGGTTTTTGTATACTATTATGACAAGTTGTTTATTAAAATATTGCGTGAATTTTTTTTACTAATTTTTAGAACGAAATCCATGTATACCACCAACATTTTCATGTTTCTTGGGTTGATTTAAATAAAGAATAACATTCAATAACATCATTAAGATCTGCGCTAATTTTGTTCACAAAAAATTTACTATAAACTGATATTACATCAAAACATCTGGAATACTCCCTTGCAGTATTAACTCTGGGAGATAAAATTTTGAACCAAATAATATTGTTATAAAAATTGTAGGTTTTAGAGAGTCACAAATTTAAGGCAAGGATCTATCACATTAATCACAATTTAAGGTTAAGATTTATATATCTATACGGGCTTCTGCAGGAGTAAATGAGTGCTCAAGCTATAAACAGCCCGTCTAAACCTGTATTTGCAGGCTACGCAGGCCACCTGCCTAGATAGTCTTGCTCGTTTTTTTTTTTAAATTAAAGTTATTATGTTTTGATGAAATTTTATTTTATTCTGAAATTTTATTTTTGTGCCAGGTATAGTAAAAATTTTAATTGTAATAATAAATATTTTTCCACCTATAAAACGGCATAAAAACACTTTTTTTTTAAATAAGTATTTTTTTATATTTAATTTTTATTTAATAATTAATTAATAATATAATAAATAAAAAACAATATTCAAATGTTAAAATATAATCAATCATTCTAATAAAACAACAATATATAAAAAAACTGTTATACATTATTTATAAAAAAGAATGATATTAATTATATTATTATAAATTTCATTCATTTCTATTCTTTTTTGTGAATAAAATAGTCATCGTACATAAAAATTTCTACTTTATTAACAAGTAAAAGAGTGACAAATAGTTTAAAAAGACTTTTATAATTAAACTTGGAATAGTTAGATACTTTTAAAGTTGAGATAACAATTTTTCGAAGTTACACTATAGTCTTTATCTTTTGCTCAGAGTTATTAGTGTGCACTCTACTTAGTGAGTTTTTGTTATTATGTTTTTGTTTTGGTTTTGTTCCTCGATTTTTATTCTTTTATTCTCTAGTTTTATCAGTTGTATAATTGGATTTTTGTTGAGTTTGTTTCATATATAGTAGGGTATCCCAAAAGCACACCTTTTTTTAAAATTTTAATGTGCTCTTAACTGATCCCTATTCTATAGGTCCTAAATAGCTACCAAAATCTTTTTTTTAATTTTTTAATGACTAGAAGTGATAGATGTAAATTCTATGTTTTACGGTTTTGTACACATGTGTATTTACATAAAAACAGAGCCATATAGTGTTTCAATATGTTTTAATATGATGTAATAATTGGTACAAAAGTAATTCCCATAGGTCATTATTAAAGATTAGCATCATTCCCTATGAACATAGTTAGCAATTAATATAATTTGCTCTGGACAATATTATTAGTTGGTATAATTCCCCATGGATTAGTTCACAAATAACTTTATTTAGAAATTTTTTTTTAAGGAAAAAATTTCTATATGGAATTATTTGTGCATGAATAAATTTGAATTTGTGCACAAAGAAATTCTCATGTAAATGGTTATAAAAGTCGTAACGGTAAACTTAGATAAAATATGACACGAGAGGGAATAACGTTTTCATAGATTTTTGATGCAAGTATAAAATTTAGTTAAAAAACTGATTATTTCTAAATTCATATAAAAATGGGTAGAGCAGCTAAAAAAAAGAAGATGATGGGGCAGAATAAGAAAAACAGAAAAATGCAGAAAGGTTGAGGTATATTTACTTATTGAAGTATCCACTAAGATAGCTTCCATCTAATGGTGATATTCTAAGATACTATCAATTTATCCTTCGAGAGTCACAGGTTAAATACAAACCCACTTCTACTAATGTTGGTTGCAAATTAAAATCGAAATCCAAGAATCTTGTTTGTGAAAATCTTGTTTGTACAGATCCTGATAATTCTTGTTTGGTAACTAGGATTTAAAAAAATTGGGATAATGCTGGGTTTGGCAAGAGATTTGTGATTTCTGGGTACAATATAAGGACCGAAATCATGAAACTTAATTTAAAATACAAGAAATTGATTAAATTGTCTTCTCTAAACTGGAACAGCAGCCTTCGACTAAGAATTTTGAAAAATATATTCTTGCTGATTGAGAACAGATGATGTCAACCTGGAAGATATAAAGTAAGTTTATTAAATAACACTTTTTTGAATAGTTTCCAATTTAAAGTAACTTAAGTAATAGCATATTATTTCCTTTCAAATAATTATGTTTTCCATGGTTTGGTCATCTTCGAAGAAAAACTAGAACAGTTATTAATTTATTTATAAATGTCTTAATAGATTTAAATATTTCTTATATGGGAACAAAAGTCAATGGATATATGGGAACAAAAGTCAATGGAGACTACAGTAGGAGAGTACTGAGTGCAAATAGGAGAAAGAGCAAGCTAGATAAGTTGAGAGATAAAGAATTAGAGAGACAGAAAAACTTGAAAGATATTAATGATGTTTTGTTGTCACATGACTCCATGACAGAAGAGATTCAATTCAGCAGTAAGGAAGAAAAGTCAAACGAGGGCTCTAAAATTAGCGAGGAAAAAGATTTCCTGGGTAATGATCGGAAACGCAGGTATAGTGTTATTATTATAACATAGTTTTAATTTTCACAAACTAAAGCTGTTTTATTAAGAAGTATATAATTATAAATAAGTAGAAAACTATTATAAAATGATACCTAGGAACAACTCCGGAGATAGGATAAATCTAGCAGTAAATGTTGAAAAGCTCATTCCTATTCCAGCAACTGTACTGCTATTCCAGCAACAAGGCAAGTAGTACTTCTATTCCAGCAATCAGCAAGTGTACTGCTATTCCAGCAACAAGGTTCAATGCTGGTGTACATTCTCATCTGGCATTTTTAAGTGAAGTTTTCAAAGTTGGAGGTAGGAATTAATATTTCACAAAGTTTACCGCTTTCACAAAGTACACTTCATAGAAAAAAGTTTAAATATGCAGAACTTGAAGGAGGCTTGAATTGGATTTCAATAACTAATCATCATTAAAGCCAACGACTTATTCTTCATTTTAATACCAAACTGTTGGGTTTACTACTAGGCTTAACATTATTCAAAAAATTGAGCGAATTGCAGTCTCAGTGAGCTCCCCGAATAATGATACCATAGAAGACCATCTTTTAGGTGTTGTTCAATGTTCCTCTTCAAAGGGATTTGATTAGGCAGAATAAGTGCACAATCTTTTATAATATTGTGGATGTAAAGAGCAGATCATTGGAATATGCTGCGATACAACTGCAAGCAATACAGGCAATGTAGTCGATGGAGCAGTCTGAATTCTTACAGATATTTTAAAATTACCAATGTTGTGGATAATGTGTAGGAGACACATATGAAGTATATGTATCTTACTATATGGCTGCTGTTACTGGCTAGAAAAATAAAGGTCCATGAAGAGCTCTTTATGTCAAGCTAAAGAAAAAGTGGCCTGAAATCTGCAAGAAAGTTAATGAAGTGGAAAATTTATGTAAATTGGATTGGCAAAAAGATGATCTGAATATTGGCTCTGTTTCTTGCACTGTTGCAGAGGAAGCTAAGATATTTTTAATTAATGCAACTACTGATATGGTGTTTTCAAGGAATGATTATGTATTATTTGTAAGCTTGCCTCCTTCTTTCTTGGAGCAGAAGTACAAGATTTTAAGTTCCATCAACCTGGCGCCTGCCATGAGGCAAGATTTTTAGCAGTTGTGATCTACATCCTGACTCTTTATATGACCGAAAATATCAGCAATATCTTGACAGAAAAAGAAGTGCTGCAATTGAAGGATGAAAGCTTGTTCATTGCAATTTGCTATGTTCCATGGTTTTTGATTCGTTTTTAGTATTTCTGGCTCCCTACAATGATATAGTTGTAAACTATCAAATGTACAAATTGGAGAGACCACAGAGCTAGTTGAGTTGATTTCCAAGCAAATCTACCTTCTCTTCAAACATTTTAAAATATCAAGAGCAAGTATAAAAGAATGGCTCAATAATATTCTTAATACTATAGATGTTTTTAACCATTCTCAGTTGCTAGATTTTATTGCATGGATCAAAAACACATCTGTTGTAAATGATGGTGCAAAAAGAAACGTTAAACTCATTAAAGATTTTATTTTAGTATAATTGATGAAAATCATCTTCAAAATGTAATTTTTGTAGTTAAAAAGTCTAGAAAAAATTTGATTAAGAGTATGACTAAAAAGGAGCTTGGGAACTGTTCAAAAAGTGGTATTTTTTGAGAAATGTTTCAGTGCGATAAAATCCTAAATTTGCTAATAAATATTAGTTTTCATGTATTTTTTTTTGTATTTTCATATTTATAAATATGAACTATCAAGTTAAATAGTAAAAAACAATTTGAAATGATTTGTATCCATTAAATTATTTTGTTTTAATTTTTTTAAATGTAAAAAAATTTTTCTATTAAGTAAAATCTGAGTAAAATTTTTTACATCAATTTTTAACACAATTTTTAACATTAAAACAGTAAAATTTAAATTTTACATCTAGCACCTCCTGTCAAAATAAAACCGCCAAATTTTTTTTAGAACTTGTTTAGGTCACATAGAATGGGCATCAGTAGATAGCTTTTTTTTTTTTTTTTTGGGACACCCTAATATATAGTCAAACCAATAATTTGCAATGCAAAAAATGGTAGATGGTTTATAATAATTTGCAATTCAAAAAATGGTAATGGTTCGCTACTATCATGTTTCTTTATTCAAGTATCTTAAAAGTATACCTTTGCTTAAAAAATTTTGCAATGAATGTAGCAATTTTGCAAGATCTATTTGAGTGTTAATATATAATCTTATAAAAATAATGGTATAAAATATAACATTTTTTATTGCACTTCTTTAGTTGATTCATTTTTCTTGTGCTTTGTAAATTAAATTTTAGAAAATTAATAGTGATATCTCTAAGCTATAAAGATATAGTGACAATTATATTGAAATCTTTTTTTAAATAAACCTTAAGCAAAAGAGTTCGATTCTTTTACAGTTATTTTTCAACTGTTTAGACTAAAGGTTTAATTATTACTATCATTTCCGTTCAATTTACTGTCATACTCTTTTACGAAATTGTAATTGATTTTATATTCTTTTTAGAAACTAGGAGAAAATATATGTTATGTTGATGTGATATGTAAGTTAGAATAATTTAAGTTAAAATCAAAGTTAAAATTTGAGGTTCTCTTATTTTTAATTTCTAAGAGACTTAGTACAAACAGATTTTGGTATATATTTTCCTGGTATATTCTGGTATATAATGGTATAGATTCTGGTATATATACTTCTTAAATATATTCTTTTTATATAATATAGGCGTGTATAAAAAAAAGTGTTATATGAATTAAAAAAAAATACAAATACATTTTTTTTTGAATAGAACCAATAGAAGGGCATTAAATGCAGTATTTTTTATATATCAGATTTATTGCTGTAAAATATATTAAATGTATTAAATATATCACAAGTATAAAAACGAAAATGAAATATGAAGAAATCATATAGCATTATATTTATCATACAAAAGGAATATATATAGTTATAAATTAGCCCAAAATATCTTCAATTTCAAAATTGAATGCAGTTTCTTCACTTTTACTCGATTCAGATGTTTCCCATTCAAAAAAATAAAATGTTATTTAATAATTTGTTATAAATAAAACCACATATATTGCTAGCTTTTACGTTCATAGTGCCATCTATAAATGCCAATGCGAAAGTCTTTGTTTGACCTTTTAGCTCACAAAGCAACTCTTTTTTATACTGAATATAGACCTTACACCATAGCTTTACAACAAATATTGTTCCATTTTTCACGACTATTTCCATTCCACTAACTTCATTTTTACCCCAACTCAAATATGTAGCTAGTTTAACTCTGTTACTGGAAGATGTCATTTTCTTTACTGAAACTTTACTTTTTAACTTAAAAATTTGAATAAATTAATACCCTGCATTACTTGATCACTTTATATCAGACACTCAATTTATACTATAAAAATTGATTATCAGTCTGTTGACTATTAATAAGATATTAGATTTTGAATAACGAGATACATATTAGCATATTAAATAAACTGCTGCCTTTTTCAAAAAAAGTTAACGCAAAAGTATTCAGGGAAATATGCACTACTTTAAAGAACTTCAAAGTATAGCAAACTAGTTTACCAATCAATTAAGCAAAATGTGTGATTATAAAAAAAAAGAAATTGTCTATATTATCTAACAGTTCTTATTGTATAGGTTTACAAGTTTACAAAGAATATTGAAAACCCAGACTAATATGTTAAACTCTTTTGCAACACATGCATATTTTGCCTGCTTTTTAACTTACTAATTATCTTTTAACATAACACAGAATGATACAAAACAGTTAAAGCTGTTTAAAATAACTTGTTCGATTTTTATTTGTTAATTTTACATCAAAATTTTCAAAAAAATTTTTTTTTCCTAATTTTTTTAGTATATCCTGAATGAAATAGTTTCATTTTTTAACTAGTAAAACAAATTGTTTTAGAAAATTACATAATTTGAGAAGTTTTTAAAAGAATAAACATAAAAATCTTTAACTTTATTTTTAACAAAAATTTATATTTTGCACAGACTTTATTTCACCCATGTAAACTGATTTGTACTGGTGTGGAGGCAGGCGCAGGCTATAGCCCGCTATTATTGCCGAAGCCTGTCTATATAAGGTTAGTAAATAGTGCAGATTAACATCCTAATTGTGACAGATTTTACTAAATTATCTCTAGATTGATTTTAAATGACCTGCATAGATCAATATCTAATAGAAAAGTTTAAGTTGTTGAAAATTTTGAAAATTTTATATATAAATATACAATTTTCTTTGCATATTATTTTAATAACTTTTTTCCTTTTTAATTGCCTTTATTTTTTTAATTTAATTTTTCAATATATTTGAACGGATTTTTTAAATTTGCATTTAAAAACAATAAACTGATGTTTTTAAGTGAAGTTTTTAACTATTCTATTGTTATTATTATATAAAAATACTTAAGTCAAAAATCATAAAAGATTAAAATAAATTGTAAAACTTCAATAAATCTTATTATGTACTTTTAGCAGGCCCGGCTAGAGATACTTTACTAATTTTTTTATAAGCAAAAAAGAAAAAAAGAAGATAAAACAATAAATATCAATTAAAAAAAAAAATTCGGTTTTTTGTAACAGTTATAATAAGTTTATTAAAATTTAATTGTATTAGATATGTTTAACCTGTTACAATTAAATTAGAGTTAACTAATATTAAAACCATCTCATTCATTGAATTTCATTCAAAACTTTTTCATTCCAATTTTTAATTTCAAATAATATTAATAAGTTTTTTTTGGAGTTGCAAAAAATTAAGTTTTATACAAATCAGTTTTCAATGTTATATATAATTTAAATTATATATAATAGTTATTATAAGGTCCTAATTTTATTATTATTGGTTTAGGTGAATGTAGACATAGTTTCAAAGTTATTTGATTCTATGAATAAATATTTCATAGCTGCACATTCTTACAAAGTACCTGGTGAAATTGCTACTATAGGTGAAACAAAGGAGTTTAATTTTGTATTAAAGAAAAATTTCTCTTTTGATGTGAGCAACAGTTCTATTGGCTCACTCGATGGTGGTTTTACGTTTCCGAATGTTGAAGATATCTTTAATAACTCCATGCAAGCTAAACAAATTCTAATTAATGTAATACTTGTTCGTTGTTATCATACATATTGTTGTTATAAATGTTATTTATTATATTATTTATGATATTTATTTTTATTATTTATTATGTTGTTACTGTTTTTACTGTTTCTTTAAACGTTAGAATGTCAGAATGAAAAATCTTGTTTACACATGGGACACAAATCGATCTGAAAATATACTCACAGAATCTCAAAGTCTTTCAATCTTTGGTCTTGATGGTCTTCCAATAAAAGTCACTAATACTTCACAACCAATTACTATTGCCATAAAAAATATTCCAGAAAAAATGACTGGTAAAAATATATCATTATCAATGCCTAATGATGTATATCTAGTTAAGCTTCCATTGAAATCAGATTGTAAAATGCTACTGAAGTTTCTGTTTAAAAATGATCCAAATAATTTAACAAACCTAATTGTTTACATTCAATATGGAAAAGTTGCATCTAAATTTGATTATGATATTATGCTAAATATTTCTGCTAAAGACGGCATTTTTATGACAAAAAACAATAATCTTGTTCGAAACTTAACTTTTGCTAATACATTTACAAATAAAATGAATGGTCTAAGAAATCAAGATGCTAAGCTTAATGATGATGGTTCATTGGTTTTGTGGAATTTTAACAACTCTACATATGCTCCATCTAACAATAGTGAACTACATATGTCATTTTGTTATTTTGGTCCAATGCCTGATAAAAAACTAAATGAAAATGAATACACTTTTGATCAAGCAGAGTTTTCTGGAAAATTTGAGTATGAAATGAAATCATATTGTGCTGAATGTAATTACTGGAATGAAAATGCAAACAAATGGATGTCTGATGGGTGCGAGGTATTATGTCAATTTAATAGTTTCTTGCAATGACTATCATATTAGTACTTCATATTAACTTTTTTTTTTGTAACATTTTTTAAAAGTGGTTAAGTGTGCTTAAGTGTGCTTAATTGTGGTTAAATGTGCTAAGCTGATTCTCCATTCAGATTTTTTTGTGGAAGTTTTCATGCGGAAAAGTACTTAATAAGCCAGTTTTGATTATTTGACATTTTTTTGGCAATTTTTCACACTTTTCTATGACAGAAATTTATTCTAAATCCAAAGAATCTGAAAGAAAAATCAATTTTAAAAGTTTATAAATTTTTTTAGTTCCATTATTCATCCACTCATTTTTCCATTCATTCCATTCCCCCCCCTCCCCCTTCATCATATAATATATTTTCAGTCATATGTTTTGTTTTTATGTTTATATAAATAAATTCTTTTGTTCTTACGTGTTTATAAATGAATTCTTTTGTTTTTACATGTTTATTAATGAGTTCTTTTGTTTCCTGTAACAAGGGCTTAAGTATAAATTATAAGAATTTGGAAATTTTATTGAGTTGGTTCAAAATTGAATGAAAAAAAACAACAACAAACAGTTTAAGTTGTGTTATGATATTCCTTTAGAGTAGAAAATAAATAAAAAATAGGAAAGTTAATAAAACCGCTGTTAATAAAACCGCTCATCAAATCAAGATACATTGTTTATAAAGAGATATATCATAGACATCTCTTAAAACTTAATTTAGTTAACCAATTGTTACAAACACACTTTATGTAACCAATTGTTACAAATTGTTGTAATACTTTATGACAAAACAAACAAACAAAAGTTCTCTTTATCTCCAGAGTTTCTTTTTATTTTTAATCTTCTGGTTTTTTATTAATTAAAAAAAAAGTTTTATTCACCCGATTACAATCAGCAATAATTGAAAGCTTTACAGTGGACTCCTTGAAACCAGCTTTGCAATAGACTCCTTGTTCATTGTTTAAATAGTTGGTTTGCATTGTTTAAAAAGAAAATTCAGAATCTAATGATTGGAATCATTATTGTTAGAGACTTTGGTCCTCCAAATAAACATTTTGTCATTATAGCGAACATGTTCTGGCTAGAACACCATGTTAATTAAAAGAATTTCCAAACATTACACTTCCATAACTTTGAAAAAGATATGGTATGAACTTTATCAATCAACTTGTACATAGTGTTATTTCAATTCTTAAAAAATATTTCTAAATTTCCATGCCATCTTGTAATCAAACTGTGAAATTTAAAGTTGTTGGGGGCTATTTAGTGCTCTGGATGTAGCAAAACATTTAAATGTTCAAGTAATTACCTTAGAAGAGTATCTAAATGAGCAAATTTTTTTTGACACACAATACATATGTTTTAACACATAAACTACATATACATAATTTTTATTTATATTAAATTAATTTCATATTTTCAGCTTGATGAAACTTCCACTAATTTTTTGGTAACCAAATGTAAATGCACTCATTTAACAACGTTTGGTGGATTTTTCATTGCTCCTAACCCACTACTTCCACTTTCATTAGCTTTATTTAAACAAGGATACATACTAACTGTAGCTGTTGCAGTTGTCATTCTTCTATGGTTACTTTGTTTACCATTTACACGAAGAATGGATAAGCAAGACGAATCTAAGGTAACTTGTATACAAAGATTTTTTATTTTTGTACGCTGTTTTTATTTTTTTTCAAAAATAAAAACAACCAAATAAAACACAATTTATATTTAAGTGAAATTTGTTTGTTAAATGATTAAATTTTATTATTGATAAATATTTAGATAGGTGTTTGTCCACTGTATGATAATCGTGAAGGAGAAACTTATTTGTATCAGATAATAGTGCATACTGGAGACATCAGAAATGCTGGTACAAAATCTAACATATTTCTCACTGTTGCTGGTAAGAGAGTTTATTATTGTTGAGACTTTAAAAAAATTTAATTGATTCGTATTGACAATATTGTTGACACAGTTTTATTAGTCAGTTGTTTATGGTCATTCTAACACAAAATTTAAAACTATTGTTTTTAAATTTGTTATTATTTAACTAAAGTCAAAAATTACTTTAAAAAAATAGTCTTAATTTATTTGTCGTTTTAAAAATTATTTGCAAAAAGAAAAAATTATAATAATATAATTAATTTTATTATTAATATATGATTATAATAAATATAATTAAAATTATGACCACATCCTTGGTCAACTGTCCTTAACTTGTTTCTATATGCAGCGGCCTTGTTTGTCAGGGTGTGAGTATTCTTGTTTTTTGTTTGTCAGGGTGTGAGTATTGGTTCACACCCTGACAAACAAAAAACGTATTTTGCTGTGTTGAGAAACGAAATAAGTATGTTACTTCCACAGATGTAGTGGGTCTTAATAACACATATGTAGTGGGTCTAAACACCACGGATTTGTGATGGATCTGAACACCATGGGTGTGTTGGGTCTGAACACCATGAATGTGTGATGGGTCTGAACACCATGAATACGAAACTTAAACTATATTGAAAATTTAAAAAAAAAAAAAAATTAGCATCAATTAAAAATTAAAATTATTTAAATAACTTAAAATATTTTAGTTAAATAAATCAAAGTAACAATTGAAATATTTTTCAAAAAAAATTTAATAAAATATTTTGTACTAATATTATTATTTTGTTATAATATTAATAAAACATTTAAAAAATTTCTATTTTTAATCGTTTTAAATTTACAAAGAAAAAAATGTATTAATTTGTTATAAATTTTGATAGGTGACATAAGTGAAAGTGGAGTGAGACACTTAAAAGATCCTGTTAGGAAATGTTTTCAGCGATCAAGTTGTGATGTGTTTATAATGTCTACTTGCAGTTCTCTTGGTAATTTAGATTTTATAAGACTGTGGCATGACAATAGTGGTGGAGGTTGGTACTTAAGGTAAAACTTCTGCTTGCAAAGCTTGCGCTACAAAAAAAATAAAATCTTATAATATGATTTTTATTTATATATTAGGATTCAATAATTTGTTTTGCTATGCTATGTCAACCTGGTACTCAAAAAAGAATAAAGTTTTAGTTTTGAATATATTACTTAATTTTATAAAAAAATTTTAAACATCTTTGCGTTTCAGGGATGTTTATTTTTAAACTTTTATTTTTGTTATAAAAATTGCTCCACTTTAATATGCAGTCAATATTATTACATTTTTAAAAGCTAATAGTTAAACTAAAGAATGATAATATATGAAATAGTTGTAAAAATGTTCTATCATTTTTTCGAAGTTTACTAAAAGTTTACTTATAATTAAGTATAAAGCTTTAAAATCACACGGTTTAAAATAATGATCAATTGACATATATTTATTTAACACTTGCATTTTTAATTTGTTTGAAAATTACCTTGTTAAAGTTTTATTCTAAATTATTTTTCTATGAAGTTCAAAGTCTGATACTCAAGGTAAATTAAAAAAGATGATAATGAAATGGCATGCTGGCCCCATGAAAGGTAATGCAGAAGCTATGTGGGAATTCTGCATGGACCAAATTCCCACATAGCTATTTTCCTGCATAGTCATTATCTTAGATTGGTTTTTAGAAGAAAAAAAAATAATTTACTATATATTTTTTAAATAAACAACAAATAATTTTTTCATTCCCTCTATTCATGCTTTTACAAATGAAATTCTTTAATTATCTGAATTACAGTGTTAAACTTTGAGCGCTACTATATTAGTATTTTGCATAATAAAATGCATTATTTATCATTAACCTTTAAAAGAATTGCTAAAGATGTTTATTATTAAGTCACATAAATTGCTTTTATATAATAACAGTTGTAATAAGTAAAGAAACCATGTCAAGGGTTGAATAAACCAATTGCAACAGTCAGAGGGTTTATTTAAAGTACTAAAAAAAAATTATTTAAGTCTTAAAAGAATATTGCTTGTAAAATTAAATAGTTTTTTTAGTTTATGCATTTTATTGTTAAAATATTTAGTTTCAAGTTTAATTATTGCTTGTTTTGCTGACCACCAAATTATTTTATTGCTATGTAACATATGAATTGAAATCTCAAATTTGTTATTGGAACTTTTTAAGCAGTCAAAATATTTTCAAAATGATAAAAAATGATTAAAAAATTACCTTAAAAATTTAAGAGTTTTACCATTAAATCTATTATTGGAAAAAAAGAAAAAAAATTATCCAATAATTAATTATTAAAAAAAATTACTTAGTTCAAAAATAAAAATATTAATTAATTACTAAAAAAAAAAAATGATGCTACTTAAACTGATAAACATAAGGTAAATATAAAGATAAAGTAAAATAAGATAAACCTTACAAAAGATATTGTTGTTAGACTAATTAAAGTTAAAAAAAAACAAAAACAAATCTGATTTGTGCTCATAAATGTTTTGTATAAACGCAAATACCATTTTTATTATCTAGTATAACCTTTCTTGTTTCCTTTAAAAAACTCATGTTTTTTAAAACAAAGTTAAACACAATTACTTGTTTTATAAATTAGCTGACAAATTTTATTTCAAATATTACTTGTTAATTATAATATCAATAAAGTGTTTATTATAATTATGTTTTTATTATTCCTGGATTATCTATTGCTCAGTTGCTTAAAATTAAAATAATATTTTTTAACTCAAAAATACTGTTTTAGCATTTAACTTTCAGGTAATAAAAATATGCATTGATTTTTCTACATTCTCAAAAATTATTTATTAATTTTTCTACTTTTTATTCTTTGTTTGAAAAACGTTTAAACTTTGTTTGAAATCAATTAAAATTTTAAGCAGTTCAATGCTGATAAAAATCAACTTTTTTTTTAAGCTATGAAATGCTAATTTGTTTACTCAAAGTTAGATGTCGTTATTAAACAGTATTTATGTTATTATTAAACAGTGTTTATGTCGTTATTAAACACTGTTTATTTTTTTATGGGTCTTCAAATTGAGCATATATGGTAAAATCTAGCTTAAATAAGCCTATTTAGAAAAATCCTACATAGGCTTTTTTGGAACAAGCAAGTTAATGTAATAAAGTTGTTACAAAGAATGATGTTTAATTGCCATGTCACTAAAAGTGTGAGTATGCTCATACGCAATGTATGAGATATGTCACATGATCAGAATGTGTACTTTCATAATGAGTAACTAAAATAACAAAATTTAATAATCGAAATTTGAGCTTCAGCCATGTATAACACAAAAAGACCACTGAGTGTTGGTGAAAAAAGTTTAAATTTTAATTTCTGGCCTTTGGAATATAACTAATTTCTGGCCTTTGTAATATACCTTAAATGTTAACAAATAATTTTTTTAGAGTAGCTGAGATAAAAATGTAAATAAAACAAAAAGTGTGCATATTTGTATAATTTTCAAAATATAAACTATTTTTCAATATAATCTTCTAAACTAAAATAAATATACAATTGTTTTATAAATTTATAAAAACATTTCTTTTTACTTTATTCACTTCATCAAAGCCAAGAGGGTTGCTACAGCGATGGCTTCTGTTTTCAAAATGATAATAATGTTCTAGTTATTAGTTTCATTATTATAAATGTTTAGAGTATGAATGTATAGCGTATAAATGTGTATGGTGTATGAATGTATTTTTTAGTTTCTCTAATGTTTTGTTTAGATAAAACACTGTTAAATGTTTTAAAAAAGAAAATTATTAAGTTATTATTATTTTTTTGTTAAACTTTATGCTTAAATAGAAACTTAGATTAAAAAATGTTTGTTATTATTTCAGTTAAACTATTTTGACTGTATTTTTTAATACATGTAATTTATATGATGTACTTGTTAATTTTTTTTTTTCAATCTAGAAATATTATAATTATTGATCTTCAAACTGAAAAAGAATTTCTATTTATTGGTCATCGTTGGATGGCTGTAGATCGTGGCAATTGTTTGGTAGACTGTGTAATACCGGTAGCATCAGTTGAAGAATCTACAAATTTTAATTATGTTTTTAAAACAAAAGCACAACACAAGCTATTAGATGAACATTTATGGCTTTCAGTTCTTACGCGCTTACCTCAAAGTAATTTTACCAGATGCCAAAGGTTGTCTGTTGCTTTTTCTTTGATTATGACTTCTATGATGGTAAGCGCAATGTTTTATCATGGTTATAAAAATGAACCGGAAATAGAAAATGGACTGTTTAACTTTTCTTTTGATAAGAAAAAGGTTTGTTTACTACTTTTTTAATTTTCTGTTTAACTGATAAATATAATAAAATGATAACATAATTAGTTTCTCAAAATAATAGTAAAACTTTTTAATTAACTGATTTAAAAATCATATAGGTAGGTGAGACTCATTAGTCAAGCAAACATTTATAAAAATACCGAAAATACCGCAAAAATGCAAGCAATCTTAAAGTAAATAAAAAAAATCTGTTTGTGCTTTCAAATTTAAAAATTAATGTATATTATTAAAAAAAAAATTTACCTATATTTTATTTATCTTTTTTTGTTTTGTTTTTTAGGGCGGTAGTTATTTTAGCTATGAAAAATCAAATCAATAAAAAAAATTAAATCAATAAGAAAAATCAAATCATAAAAAAAGATTATTGTTTAATGAAAATAAAAGGACCTTTTAATGTAAAACTTGTTTATGACTTTTATCAGTCAGTAATACTTTAAAATTCACAATAGAACTTTAATTAATTTTTAAATGTTTTGTAAATACATTTAAATGTTTAAATGTATTGATACGCAAGAAAGTGCAAAAACGATTGCTGTTTATTTGTAAAATATGTTTTTTTTTTCAATTTTCAAATAAAAGAAAATTTTATTGTCAAAAGATTGGGTTGCATATTTTGCAATCATTAATGGACATTGTGAAGGAGTGTTAATATATAACAATGTCCCGAAGGAACTGTTTTCGTAACAGAAACAATGCAATTATTTTTTTAACTTCTTTCGTAATTACAAAATTATGCAATTGAATAATTTCAAAGTAATAAAAGGCGAGCATTGACTCAGTATAATCAGTTTAGAATAAGTTGAGAGAGAACTTTTTTCACATTAAAATTTTGTTATCTTTAAAATCTCAAATAATATATTTAATAATTAAAACAGCAATTTATTTTCTTGTCTAAGTATTGGGGAATAAAGTCATCGCCTTTGCATAAACCTTCATAAAAACTAAATTAAATGAAAAAGTTTAACCAAATTAGTTTGGCGTAAATAATGAATCAGTTTTTTAATACATTGTCTGATAAAGTAAGTGAATAAATTTCGTATCAAGTCTTTTTTATTTTTGTGAAAACTTTATGATTTATTGTTGTCTTTTCCTTGACTTGTATCAAATTTCGTAGCTGAAAAAAGCAACCCTAAAAAAAGAAAACAAAAAACAGTATAAAAATTTTGAAAAAATTGTTCAGGACTTTTTTTTTTTTTGTTACAAGATTTTTTTTTTTTTAATTTTTTTTTTATTATCAAAATATTTTTCTTACATCCAATTTCAATTTTATACTTTGTTTAGACTTCATTTCCAGGCCTTGCGATAAAGCGTTGGGCGATGTGAATTTTACGTCGTCCAAGAGCGATTTTGCGTGTAGCTAGGGCTATTTGCGTCGAGCAAAAAAATTTTTGTTTAAGTATATTTAAAGATATTTTTGAGCGGAATTTTAATGAAGTAATTTACGAATATTTTAACTTTTAATAAAGTATTTTAAAAACCGCACGCAGTTGAAATAAAAGTTTGAATTTAAAAAAATTAAATATGCTCATTATTTACAAGTAGTAAAAATTCAAAAATTAAAAAAAAAGTTTAAATCTTTTAAGCTAACATTTAATTAAAATTATTCAGCAATAGCAAAGTTGTCGATAAAATTGAACAAAAATACTTTCTTTTAGTTTTAGATTTTAAACTTAAATAATTATTTTACAGGGGTTTGTTAGGTTTTAAAATTATTCCATAGATTTAAAAATATTTATTAACTGTTAGACGTATTTAAAGTATTTAAGAGTAATTTCGAGGAAACATTTTAAAAATTGGTGAGGGCAAATAAAAAAATAAAAAAGGATTAATATTAAAACGTATTCTACTTGATTCAATAAAAAAGTACAGTTATTAAAATTTTTGTAAAAAGTAACTCAAAAAAATTACTTAAATAATAACGATCGCTTTTATGTTAAAAGTTACCAAAAATCAACGAAGCGTGCTCAAGAACAGCTGCTGAAAAATAGAACGTCAATAGTTTTTCGAATAATTTTTAAGAATAATTTTTTCGCTGAAATATTTCTTTTATACCTATGAACTTTTTATTCTAACATTGTATTTTTTTTTACTAGAAATAAAATTCCTTGTTAACATTAAAAATCTATTCAAAACGTTCGTTTAAGTTTTTTATTAATACGAGTGATTGTGCTTATCAACCGCTTTATGAAAATAAATAAAAATAAATAATAGCTATTGCACAGTTTTTAATCGTACAATATTAAAATTTCCAGTTTATTACTCCCTGACTTTTTAAAAAGAAAAAATAATTATTTGAAAAACTTTAAATTACATATTTAAGAAAAAAAAATCAAATATTAGCATATTTTATAATCTTTTTTAAATTTAAGTTATAATGTTTTTTATTCGTTTAGTATAGACAAAACGTGACAAACGTCGAGAAAATAAACAAATGTTTTTACATTTAAAAAAACGAAACATTCCAAAACATTTTTAAATAATAACATTTCTACATAAACGATTTAAAGTAGTTTTGCGGTAATTAAGTAAATTGGTGCAGTTAATGTCGATAAATATGAAAAGCAAATAAAAAGAGTTTAATGACGTCAAAAATTACGTCGTGCTTATGCGTCGCGCAGTTTTTATTCATCGCAAGGCCTGCATTTCCTTTTTTTAATATTATTTTTTATTCTCTGTGGATAAGTTCCGCTTTCCCACGAAATATTGCCGCGGTCACGTTTTCTGAAAAATTTATTCTATGCGTGGATAAACAAGGTTTTCCCAGGAAAGGCGTGCCTTTCCTGGGAAAGCCTTGTTTTTCCACGCATAGAATAAAAGCCTGATATATATATATATATATATATATATATATATATATATATATATATATATATATATATATATATATATATATATATATATATATATATATATATATATATATATATATATATATACATATATATATATATATATATATATATATATATGTATATATATATATATATATATATATATATATATATATATATATATATATATATATATATATATATATATATATTATAGGTATAAATTTTATATATTATAGGTATAACTAAAATTGACTGACAAAACACACTGTTTTTGTCAGTCAATTTTATTTGTTTTAATTTATTGTTTTTTTATTTCTGTTTTACTGACTGATCTATATGGATTGGGTCAATGGCGTAAACATACATCAACTGACTTAAATAGGTTAAACATGTGAGAAATGTATATACATCAGGTGCCTTAAATAAGTAAAACATGCGAGGAGTGTAAATTGACTGACATTCGGTAAAACATGTAAGGAGTGTCCATATGTTGACTCATTTTTATATATACATATATTTATGTACATATACATATATATGTACATATACACACACAAATATATATATATATATATATATATATATATATATATATATATATATATATATATATATATATATATATATATATATATATATATATATATATATATATATATAAACAGATTGCAAAAAGTTTGCAATCACTCATAAATTTTGACAATTTTGATATTGCTGACCAGACATTATTAAAAGTACATCAAGTAGTCAATTTATTGAACATGGAAAATAGAAATCACTAGCGATTAATTATCAACTGTTTTCAACACCTCAGCTGTTTATATCTCTCTATTCATAAAAATTCAGAGGTCAATAGACATCGCATACGCTCGTTTTAGGCGGTAATGGATAACTTATTAACACCAATCACAAGCCATATATTACAGTAAATAACTTTGTGATTAGTAGGCTGATATTGAATATTTGGCTGTTGACTGTTTTCATTTTCTGTGACAGTTAGAAGTTCATTTAGACCGAGTTCAATTCGGCTGCAAGATTACAGAAGTTTGTCTGATGAAAATGAAATAATTTTTTAATTAATTTAATTAATTAAATTAGAATTCTCTTCTTTTACATTAATCATTTTGTAAATAATTTAAAAGATGATGAAATACATCAAAACAATCAATAAAATATATAAAAACAATAAATTTAATTAAAAAAAAATCATATCAGTGTATGAAATGATGCATTCTAAAGAATTAACAACTACACAACGGGCTCAGGTTCATGTTCTGAGCCAGCAAAACATGTTCCAACAAAAAATTGCACATTTTCTTAACGTATCCCAGTCATCAGTGTCCAAGACTATGACCAGGACAGCTAAATTTGGAATTTAAAAATCTCAGGAATGCTTTGGTAAACCTCGAGTGATGTCAGCAGCAACTGATAGGCTTATCCGAAGAACTGTGGTTGCTCATCCAAAAATGTCTTTGGTCAACATTGCTGCCCAGATACCTGCTGGAGTGAGCACTCGGACTGTCAGAAGGCGTTTGCTAGTTTAATTTATGCTGCCTTTTAAGGTAAAAAGTTATACCTTTTAAAGTAAAAAATTATACCTTTTAAGGTATAATTTTTTTTTCTTTTAAAGGTAAAAAATTATACCTTTTAAGGTATAAAATATAATTTTCTACCTTTTAAGTTAGAATATTATGCATTTAAGAAAATTGTATGACAAATCATTATTTTTAATTAAATTTAGGTAATAAATAAGGTATAATTTTCTTGCTTGAACGGTAAAAAATTATGCCACATATCCTACCCTAAGGCAAAAAAAACTATGCCACATATCCTACCTAGTTTCTAACTTTTTTTTAGAATGTTATCCAGAAATAAGTGCTTTTAAACCATCTAAAATGATAAAATTGTACCTGAATTTTTATTGTTTCCAAAAAAGATACCAACATCATGTAAAGATTGATATATAAATTATCAACTAATCCAGCTAAGTAAACTTTATATAGAATATTAAGTTTATTAACTCTATTAGCATTTATATTCATTTACATCCATCTCGTTATACAGTCAATGAAGTTTTTGCATTTACAACATATTTTCATATAGCATATGCTTATATATAGTAATATATTATTATTATTATTATTACAATTATTACTAGATATTATTTTATTAGATAATAATATATAATAATATAAGCTATATGGTTTCAATATGCATATTTAAACCACTACAAACTCTGTCACATAACTACCAACATCATGACTCTGTCATGTCATCTACATTTATTGACTGTTGATGTCTTTATTTTATACTATATTCATCATTTTTATTCGGAATACAAAATATATATGTAATCCAAAATAACAACTTGAAACTGAATAACCAAAACAAACACACTCCTATTATTTCAGGATTTATCTCAGAATACATGCAACTTAACTATGTGAAATACAATGTTTACAATTTGATGCACTCTAAAGTAAGCTGAGCGCTAGTATAAAGAGGAACCTAAGTGTTATAAGAAAACAGCCCGCATTTCCAGACTAGTTAAATACTATGACTATGCTTCCATACATGCCTGGATATAGGAGGTTATGTAGAAGGCTCATTTATCAGAAGCCTTTTGTCAGAGAGACAAAAGCCTTCAGCTCAAGTACCGTCTTAAAGAAAATCACAAAAAGAATTCCAGTCAGCTTTAGTATAGTAGTAAATTAGTGTGATGAAAGTGTGAGAAAAAAAGTAGAAAAAGTAAGAGAAAGGTTTATAGAGATATTGGAGAATCTGAACTCAATTTATGAGGCAAAACAAAAACACGTGTTTTGCTAAGGTAAGTAATTAGTTTTGTCTAAAAAATAAGTTACAAAGTTAACTATCCGAGTAAGAGATTAAGAAATACAGAAGTTATGGGCTTAGTGCTAGTTGGGTCAGTAGAGTTAGAGCCTTGCCATTCGGTGTGATGAGCATTATAGTCACTTATAACAACAAGAGAAAAGAAGAGAATAGATTAGGTCAATTTGATCAGAAATTACATCTGAAAAGTCTTGAAAAGAAGAAGAATGTTAAAGAACAAAAAGACAGATGATCAAGTAAAGAGTTGCTAAACAGAAGCATATAAAAGAATGGTGAAAGCATTCAAAACTGATTTCTTGACAAATAGATGAACTGGTGTGTAAGTATACACCTAATCTAATCATGGAGCTATTGGAATTTTTGCAAATCAAAGAATCATTTTTTAATTTTTATTTTTTTAACTTCTATTGTTCGTTCTTAAGCCCCCTCTAGAAAAAAAAAAAAAATGTATAGTTAGCCTTTAATGTATATATTATTTTGTTATATAGATTTTTGTAATACTGATATGTTCATGCATCAAGTTTCCTGTAGAGCTAATATTTGTTAAACTGTTTTGTACAATAAGACCTTTTCAAAATCTCGAAATGAGTTCAGATGACATATCTCAAAATAAGGACAATAAAATTGAAAAAAATTTGTCGTTAAGCTGCTCACAACTTCTTCAAAAAAATAGTAAGTTTTTTTGTAGTAAGTTTTGATGTAGTAAGTTTATTTGTTGGTTCCAACTTTTGCTAAGCTTTTGCATTGTGTTATAAATTTTTGTTGTAACAAAAGTTAATAATTCATATGTATTGAGGGATAGTTATTTAATATTTTACTAATTTTTTTTTATGCAGGTCTTACATCAACTGATACAGCAACATGCATAGCTTGTGAAGAAAACAGGAAATCATCTTCAACAAAAACAATTAGTAAAAAATGTTTTCCTGTTTTGTGTTTGTACATGACATGGTTTATTTGTATTGGAAGTATATTTGGTTGTGGTTTTATTGTTCTATGGTATGGAATGAGTTTCGGAAATAACCAATCTTTACATTGGTTGACTATCATAATTGTTGATTTGGTGTGTGTTATTTTTTTATTTAAAAAGATTTATTATTATATTAATTGTTACTATATTTATATTGAATTTTTTTCTATATTTAAAATTTTTTTTTTTTAATTTTTTGAGAATCCTATAGGGAGTATTTATTAGGATACTATTTGAGTAAAATATTGTCAAGATACTAGTAAAAGATATCTTAGGCAATACAATGAAGGATCTCTGGTTCCTATAATAAGTTTATTAATGAATAGTTTTTAATTGCTTTAATAAATCATCCACATCAACTTTTGAAAGAATTTCTTTAAAGATTTTTTGTTATTAACTTTAACTTGACCTTACTTCAAATATTTTCTCATTTACTCAAAAAAATTTATTTTTTATTTTATTTTGTATTGCACTTAATGCTTTAGAGTAAAATATATTAAATTAGCAGGATCATTATTGGACACTATCATATAAATTAAACATTTTTTCAATGTAAATTTTGATAGAAATCTTATTCAATATGTGGCATCATGAATATTTGAAATGTGACAATTGTAATCTAAGGAGTTTTTGAAACATGGCAGCAACTATTTTCATAAGTTTTTTTTAATTTCATTTTTGTAACCAGGATCATTCTTTTATACAGGTTTTTGATAAAAATAATCAGTTCTAAAAGAAAATTGCTTGTAGAACATTGAGGCAATTGGAAAATTTTTTTGCAGCAGCCCTTACAGAAAATTAAAAAAACATAAAATTTCAATCAGTATTTGGAATAGCTCAGGCATGGGTTTTCCATTGAAAAACCATGAGCCATGGATTTGAATAGTGGTCATATATCATTTATTGTTTTTAGGGTTTTTTATGGAAGGATTTAATTTTTTAAAAACTAATGGTATTTTAATTTTTTTAAACAACATAAGGTGTGATTTTTATAACATATTATACTAATACATTGAGATTTTAACAAATTAATTGTCATTCATTTGTTGCTTTTTGTATTTTCCTGCTACTTCCTAAAGCTTTTCAGCCATTGACTGTTTAATTCAGGGGTTCCCAACCTTTTTGTGTTCCTGAGTACATTCTAAATAATTGGTAGGGTGGCAGGCGCCTCCTATTTTAAATCAGGACAGTACAAGCATGTGTTTACTTTAGGTTTTCTGCATGTACAAGAAGTGATGTGCAAATAGCACACTCGATTCCAGGCTAGTGTTGGGCTTGCAACTAGACAAGTTGTGACAAGGGCTGTCAGCAAAGGAACCACTCATACATACAATATTGCAAACATATGAATGTATTTAATAAACCTAGGTACTCAAAAAAATTAAAACTCAAACAAATAAATAAAAATATTTAACATTTTTAATTATTATTTATGAAAAAAATGTTTTACTATGGAATAGTGGTGTACACATACAAATCATTCTGTGTGCGCCATGGTGCCCGGAAATGGCACAGGATTGGGAACCCCTGGCCTAACTAATTCAATTTTTGAATCCAGGAAATTTTTTGTGAACATACACTACAAAACAGAAAAAAATATAATAATACATGAATAAGCATTTTACAAAAAAATTAAAAATTAAAAAATTTACAATGAATAAAATGTTTCGTAAAATGAATAAAAACTTTTGGTGACAATTAAAAACAATAATGTACAAAATATTTTTACAAAGCACAAAATTTGAAATTTAAAACATACTTGCTTAACAAAGCAGCAACTTTTGATGCTTAATTTGCTATTTTGGATGTGTTACTAAGTCAGTTATTAACTGAACTCTGCACTATTTTTCTTGTGAGTGAATAACAAATCTATCAATAGCCAAACAAGATGAGTTAATTTTGTTGACTTAATTGTGGAAAGCTTTGTGTTATAAACTTTAACTACAAACCTTATATCAAACTAAAAAGATTTAGTAAGTAAAATTAAAAAGATATAGTAAGTAAAACTCATGATATTAGTTAATGCAACTGTTTCATTTTGGTTGTTAAAAATATAAAATGCAATGTTTACGTGGCAACCAGAAATATGACAACCAGACATATGGCAACCAGGCACAATAAGCTTAAGCATGCTATTCTAATGCTGATCATAGTAGCATTTGACAAAAACAAGTACTCCTTTTGGTATAATTGGTAGAAAAGGTGTATTTATCTTTTAGCATGGTTTGGAGCAAGTTAATTTATTTTGAATTACTACATTTAAATTATTTATTAAAATATATCTGAAATTCATATATATATTATAAAAAAAAGATTTTATACAAGCTAATAACAATGATAAAGTTAAATGTATGGTTTTCTCTAGAATTTCTCATGTTGTTAAGAAGTTAATAAATTTCTTTGCATATTGTTATATTTTATAAATATTTTTTTAAAATCCAATTCTGTATTTAAAGGGTTTGTTTTAATAATTAACAAAAACAGAGGGAAAAAAAATTAAAAAATTGTTGTTAAGAATTGGAAATTGTTAAAAGTCAAAATACCTTGATTTGGATTTTAATTTAGGTCTACTTCTTAGAAAAAAACTTTAAAAATAATAAATAAGGTGAATATTTTTAGTTATATTTTCATTTATATATTAAAAAATTTTAGGCCTCACTGCCACAAAGCCGATTGAATTGATTGAAGAATGCATTAAATGCTTAATTAAATAAATGTAATTTATTTATTAAAATGTTTTAAACAAGAAGAAGTTTTTAGATAATATTAAAGATCTAATGTTCAAGAATGTTGAGATTTTTGTGCATGTAAACGGTGTTGAAGTATAAATAGATTTTTATAAAACATCTATAAAACAAAATATATTGCAAAATATTGCAAAATGTCTGCAACAACGAAAAAGAGATAGTTAAAAACATTTAGTTAAAAACAGAGATGTAAATAAACAGTTCAATAAAGTTGATAAAGATCATGTAAAGTATTTATAAGGTCAAAAAAAATTTCTTTAAATTTTAGATTTTATTTCTTGTGAATAATAAATCTTGAAAGTGTTATGCTTGGATTCATTAAGCAAAATCTACAGTATTGGATGTCTGATTAAATTTACAAAGCAAAATCTACATTGTTAGAGATGTCTAACATGTGTTACAGATGTCTGATTGGATTCTTTAAGCAAAATCTGCAGTGTTAGGTAATTCTGACAGTGAAATAATTGTCTGGTTTGATTCATTAGACAAAATCTACAGTATTGGGGATGTCTGATGTAATTTTAATAATGTAATTTAAGCATAAGAATTTTTACTTAATATATAAAAATTGCTGTTTTCATTATATTATTATATTACTGTTGCTGTTTTATCTTGAACTAATCTCTTTTAAATATTTTTTTTATTTTTCCTAGGTAAAAGAAATATTATTATTTGCACCCATAAAAATATTTATATCTGCAATAATTATTTCTCTTGTTGTAAAAAAAGTTAGCGAAGACAAAAGTGAAATTAAAAATAAAGGTAAAATTAAAGGTGAAATTAAAAATAAAATAAATTAAAAATAAAATTCTTTTATTACTATTCAAGTACAATCAATAATATTAAGTGATTATTGCTTTTAAATTTTCAAGGTAAAGCGTTAGCTCTGAATGAAAGTTGGCTTCACAAACAGAAAGATAAATCATTGATTTTTAACAAGGATGATGTTAATATACAACCACCTGATCCTGTTTCATTAAAAAAAATGAGAGATTTACGCTTAAAGCAACTTAAGATGTATAGTTTAATGACAGAACTTATTTTATATTTTTTTTATGCAATATTTGCTTTCCGCATTGGTTATTTTGCACGTGAAAATGTTGCTTTTTATCAAACTCGCAATATACAAGAACTTTTCAATTTGACACTGAGAGGTGTTCCACTGCCAAAAGATTATAGCAAAATTTATGGCAAGGTTAGTCAATTTTTTATTTGTTTTGCAAGCTTATGTGCATATATGCACAATTACAATATGTTTAGTATTTGTAAATAATAAAAGTAGTGTGTATCTTGGAATGTTAGGAAAAGTCATTAAAATTATTTGATTACATTAACAATACAAAAAGGACTAGTTATTTATAAATGATTCTTGTAGAATCATTTATAAATAATATTATAAATATATTGTTAGACCTTAGCCTGAGAGATAAGATACATAAATAGAGATCTCTTATATGAGAGGTTTACCTTGATTTTGTTATTACCACTATAACCAAAATTTTAAAAAGCCTGATTAGGACTGTTATAATTAATTTTCCTCATTTCTGAGTTATAAGATAATTTTGAAAAGAAATGTAAAGAAACTATGTTTGCTCAAATTTTATGACGATCCACTTCTTGGCAATAGGCTTAAAATGTAATTATAACATAAAATATAAACAATTTAAGAAATAGTGCAAGTAAAATTATAGAAATAGTGCAAGTATAACAACAAAAAAATGTAATGATAAATGCAATGTGAAGTTTCAACTTTGATTTACACTTGTTTTATTTGCATATTTTTTATTTTTTATTGTTCTTTCAACTTAATGAACTTATAATGTTTGATAAGAGAGTAATCCAGATGTCGTTAAGAGAGTAATCCAGATGTCCTTAAGAGAGTAATCCAATTGTCGTTAAGAGAGTAATCCAGATGTTGTTAAGAGAGTAATCCAGATGTCGTTAAGAGAGTAATTCAGATGTCGTTAAGAGAGTAATCCAGATGTCGTTAAGAGAGTAATCCAGATGTCGTTAAAGAAAATTGCTCAATTTATTTTCTGTTATCTACATCATGTAAATTTAATTTTATACAATTAAATTTTAACAACTGTTAAAAAATACATAAATACTATTATATTATATTATGAATAATATTACAGGTTAATTAATTGATACAAATAATAAGACATTAAAAATATAAATGTAAACAATAAATAAAAACATAGAAAAGATAAATAACATAAAAATGTCATTTTTGTTGAAGTTTCCTCACATGATTTTTTGTAAATTTCAACTAAATTTGTATCAACTTTTTATGAATTATATAAAATGAATTGATAGGTTTAGAGGTTGGTATAGGCAAAAGCATTCCCAGCAAGTTTTGTTTAAATCCTGTTATTTATTATTACCTTTTTATGGAATTGAGTCTTTATACAATATGAATTTTGTATAAAATAGATTATAAATAATTTAAATTCATATAATAGTATGCTTTATAGATTCAATCATCAAAGCATTTTTGGTCGTGGATGGAAGAACTTTTCTTTCCACAAGTTTATCCTGACCCATGGTATAACTTGAGTGCTTTCTATTCAAATACAAGTCAACAAAATTTTCCTGGAAAATTGTTTTTAAATGATCTTACCTCAAAAATTGTTAATGGGATTAGAATTCGCCAAGTTCGTATTCAGCCAGGTATAAATTCGAGTTTTTTTAATTTATTTTAATGGTTTGATTCTTTTTTTAAGAATCAGATTAATGAATTAAAATCAAAAAGCTAGCTGCCAGTTAGTTTTTTATCCAGTCGCTCGTAACAATCTCATAAGTTTTAATTTTTTTTTTCCAATATGCGGTATGGCCTTAGTATGTAATAATTTATTTTCAATTGTATGTAAAATGGAAACAGTATACTATAAACATATTAACTGTAAACATATAAACATACTTATAATAAAATATAAATTAAGAACTTTTCAAAATAAAGCATTTGTTTAATATTTGTTAAATAAAATACCTTACAATGTATGTTATAAATTTTAAAAGAGACAAAAAAATGCTATGCAAAGTTCTTTTTGTTAAGTAATATTTATTTAAAAAAACAAATTTAATATTTATTTATTTAAGCTTCTATTTTACTCAGATGTTCAGAAAAAAAATCAAAGGCCATGATAACAAGTTTAATATGGGAATTAAAACATAAACATTACTGACTTTTTCTTTTTTGTTGGTGTTTTTAAGTACATTAAAATACATCAAAAGTACATCAAAATTTCAGTAATTTGCTGTCTTTTGTTTTGATGCTCATAACTTATGTTATTGCTAACAGTTACATAAGAATGTTGGAGCTGTTTTCAAAAACTTGTCGGGATATATATAATTAGTGTTAATTGCTTATTTGAATAGGCTATTATAGTTTTTATGATTTTATAAATAGTGTTTACAAATTGTTAGTGTATTTATGTCATAAACTGTTAATAAAAAAAAAAGGTTATAACATAACTCTAATATACAAACAAAACTCCCTGGGTATAGTTATGTATATGTACATAATTATCAAAAATAACTTTAAAACTTCCTTGGAATAATTATGTACATGTACATGATTTCAAAAGTACATATAAATTCTCTTGCGATAATTATGCACATGTACATAATTATCCCATAATTAGGAATTATGTTATGCACATGTACTTAAGAGTTTTGTTAATCACAAAAAGTTGTATATAAATTGTAAAATAATTTAATTGTAAATGAAACAGAATTCTTAAAGAAAATATAGTTGTCCTCTTTACAATATAGCTATCTTTTTGTTTTGTAATAGTTAAAGATTGAAGTTATGTTTATGTTGCTATGAGATATTGCAGTGGGTTTTATGAAAGTTATAAAGTTAGCATAAAGTTAGAAATGATGAAAAATCACAGATGTTTTTAAATCAAATAGAAGAGTTCTTTTATATTGCACATCAAGAAGCAGCTGATATTGTTAAGTGTGACAAATTAAGAAACACTAAACAAAAAGAAGAAGACTTAAAGTTTTTAGATGCTTTAAAGAATGGTAAAAAAGATGTTTTAGGCTCTGTTGGCAAAGATTATACAAGAAAAAAGTTATAAAAAAAGAAACCATTTAAGTGAAAAGTACGCTGAAAAAAGAGTTATAGAGCAATCAACACAAATGATTTTAAAAGATTCCAAAGAAGATGATGATATCGATAAATACTTATTTTTCTAAAAAAGCCTAAAAAAGAACTGTTCGTAAGATTATTAACTAATTGTTTAAATGCTTTAAAAGAGATTTATTACTAACTAATCCTTTAAAACCTTTAAAAGAGGTTTATCAAATGGCTGACCCCTTGAATCTATCCCTTAAGCAACAGGGGTCACAGCTGCAATACTAATAGTGGAGTTAATTTAGACACTGGCTATATCAAAAAATTAGTGCCATCAATTTTGTCAAGAAAATAGGGCTATAATGGAAGATTAAATAAAATCATTGTTTATAACTCCTGAATTTTGTGTTTTGCACTAGAATGGGAAAGTGATAAAGGACCCTCACTAGAAACGGTCAGATAGACCAGGAATATAAATTTCAGGAACTCCAGGCTACAAACAAGGTAAATTGTTAGACGTTCCAGAAATAGTCGATAACACTGGGTCTAGTCAAGCCACAGCACATTTTCTTTTTTTACAATAATGGGATTTAGCAGATAATATAGTTGGATTGTCTTTTGACACAACTGCTTCAAACTCAGGGTGACAGAATGGTGCATACATAAAAATTGAAATTCTTTGAGAAAAAAAATTGTTTTATTTTGCATGCAGACATCACATACTGGAAAAACTGCAAAGTGCAACCTGCCAAGCGCTATTTGGGCACAATCACAGCCTAAATAATAAATGCTTTAAGGAGTTCCAGGAAAAGTGGGACTCTATCTTGGACAAGGATGACTTCAAATGCTTAGATGTTAAAGTCAGAAATATGAAGCTACAGAAAAATACTGCAATTTCTACTTTCAAAGAGCAGCTCAAGAATAAGAATTTTGAACTAAGAGATGATTACAAGGAATGCACAGAACTTATGTTAATTTTTACTTAGAGAAATTCCAGATACAGGTGTATATTGGCACAAACCTGGAGCCTTTCATCATGCAAGATGGATGTCTTAGGTAATATACGCTGCTAAAATGTACCTCTTTAGAGATTCTAAGGGCTATAATGAGGTAACTACTGCAAAGCTGAGAGATATATGTCTTTTTAATGTTCTTGTGAATGTCAAGCACTGGATAACATACCCTTTCAAGTTGACGCTCTTTTTAATAAACTGATACTTTTCAATGAGTTTCAGAACTTCGATGTTATCAACAAGGAAATATCAGAAAGCACCTTAAGAATATGTAAAAATCATTTTTGGTATTTAACCAAGCAGTTTATTCATTGTTTTAAAAAACAGTGTCTGACAATGAAAAAAATAATGTTGTTAAGAAACTCCAATTCTACCAATGTGGTGAGCTAAAAAAGTTTAAAAAAAAAAAAAAATAATAACTAAAAAAAAAAAAAATAATTGTCTGTATTTTCCAAAAACTTAAATATTATTTTCACAATTGAAAGTCTTTTTTGCAATATTTGTTTTTTTGCTATAAATATATATATATAAATTGAAAAAAATTAAAAATTTATAATGCATTGAAACTACACTGAAACTACACCGATGATAGCCTACTTAACCACTACCAGAATACTACCAGAATCTACCAGAATAGCTTGTCATCAATGGAGCATAAACTTGTTATTGATTTTAAATTTATCGAATTTAGTACTCCCAAAAGCTAAAAAACCAACCTTTCCTGTTGTGGCAAAAAATATAAAAATTCCATCTGATTAAACAAAGCTCTTGGCTTCTGTTTAAAATCTGTGGTATGAACACTGTGTGGCTAAAAACTCCTGTGCTAACATGGAAGGAGAACAAACACTTAAAGAAATGGTTTTTTAAAAAAACATAAGAGTTGTTAATGATGTTGCTGAGAGAGGTTTAAAATTGATGCATAACTTTTCATTGTCCCTTACAAAAGATGAAAAAAGCAAGCAAAGTGTGTTACAAGTAGTTAAAAACTACAGAAAGTGTTTTATCGATTTCAGAAAGGCAACTTTGAATAATTGTTCAACAAACCTTTGTTGTTGTTTTTATAATGAGATTAATTTTGATTAGTTACTCAATATAAGAAACATCAATAATACTATATATAAGAAATACCAATAAACGTAAAAAATTAGTAATATTTATGATATTTTAATCCCCACATTAAATTTGTTATCATGGCTATGATTTTTTTTTCTGAACATTTATGTAAAATAAAGTTGAAACTCAATTTACTTGTTTGCTTACTTAGAAAAAGTTATAGATTAAAAATAATTAAAAATCTTTGAAAAAACCAAAAATTAATTTTTTGGGGGAATTTGGCGCAAGAATTAGGGTTAACATGTCGGGCTGAAATTTACAATATATATATATATATATATATATATATATATATATATATATATATATATATATATATATATATATATATATATATATATATATATGTATATATATATATATATATATATATGTACATATATATATATATATATATATATATATATATATATATATACATATGTACATATATATATATATATATATATATATATATATATATATATATATATATATATATATATATATATATATATATATATATATATATATGTATATATATATGTATATATATACATATGTATATATATGTATATATATATGTATATATATATGTATATATATATGTATATATATATATATATATATATATATATATATATATATATATATATATATATATATATATATATATATATATATATATATATATATATATATATATATATATATATATATATATACAGTATGCAGAAAAAAATCATCGTACACTTCAAAAAAAATCATAATTTTAAAGATTGCATCAAAAAAATGAGTTTTCTGTTAAAATATTTAAAAGTTTTTTTTAGATATGTTATCAAGTATTGTTTTAAGAATTAATTTGTGTAATGGTGAACTAATTGCTTTTTAAATCTATTGAATTTTACTCAATGGATCTAATGATGCATAAATTGACTGCAAAAAAAATAATTGTACAGTTCCAAAATAATGTCAAATTGATCAAACTTCATGGAAGTTAGTATTGAGTGAAGTCTCCTTTAGCTTTGATGGCCTCATCTAGATGGTTTGACATTAATTTGGCCATAATTTGGGTCTCTTCTGCTGTTATGTTATCCCATGCCCTCATTACAGCTTCTTTCAAGTTGTCTTTGCGTTTTAATGCTCATTTGCTAATTTTTCTGTCCAAAAAATACCACCAATTTTCTATTGGATTCAAGTCCGGACTTTGAGTGGCCATTCCAAAACATTGATGTTATTTGCGTCAAGCATAACTTCATTTTTTTCAATTGTTAAGAAGCATTATATGATTGGAACCGTTGTTAGTGTGGCTGTTAGAAAACAAAAACGCAAAAACACAAGTGCAATTGATCAAAATATCAATATTGTCATCATTAAAGTGAAGAAAAATAGATTTGTTTTTGTAGCTAAATTAGCTTTGAAAATTTAAGAAGATTATAACATCACAGTGACTCCTCAAACAATCAGAAATTGTATAAGAGAAC